TGAACACCTCCATGACACAGTAAGAATCTGCCTCGGTCATGGAGGATTGAACACCTCCATGACCGAGAAAAGCAATTGTCAATCCTCCATGACCGAGGAATCTGCCTTGCTCATGGAGGATTGAACACCTCCATGACACAGTAAAACACCTGATCGGTTGTTTTACTCGGTCATGGAGGTTTCCACCTCTTCATGAGCGAGTAATACACCTTGATCATGGAGGTTTCCACCCCTCCATGACCGAGTAAAGCACCTCGGTCATGGAGGGGTGGAAACCTCCATGACCGAGTAAAAAGCTTCGGTCATGGAGGTTTCCCTCCATGACCGAGTAAAAAACTTTGCTCATGGAGGTTTCCCTCCATGGCCGAGTAAAGCACCTCGGTCATGGAGGGGTGGAAACCTCCATGACCGAGTAAAAAACCTCAGTAAACCACCTCGGTCATGGGGGTTTACACCCCTCCATGAACGAATAAAACTCCTCGGTCATGGAGGTGTTCACTCCTCCATGGCCGAGAGGATCATATTAGGTTTTCCAACCAGGGGAAGCTGCGGCACGCAGCGCAAAAAAGGAAAAAAAGACCAGGTGTAAACAAGGGTAACCGGGTTTATCAGAACCGGGTATGAAAAATAAAATATCAAAATTCCTATGTTTTAGACACATAGGAATTATTTTTATGATTTAAAACAATTTTTGGAACATTTTTAATGTTCTGAAAACCCTTGGAAAAGGTGGCCAGGAAACGTGTTTAAACGCGGTAAAGCGGGTACGGCGGAGACGTTGAGATGACGGCGAAACCGGGTTTAAACGCGGAAAACCCGGGTACGTTTATTAATCCCCTATTTAAATAGTATATTTTATTGTTTTTAATTGTATGTACATATGTAAGTAATAATATCTCTAATTTATATGTAAAATGCTATGTTCAGGCTGGCTCTGATTAGTAGCAGGCTGACAATCCAACTCCGCTGACTTCTTAACGAAGCCAATGGGAAGACTCACTATAAGAAGATCCCTGGCATCCATAGGCGTAGCAACTCCAGAATCATCTGCTTCGCGCCTAACGGCTCAAAGCAACCCAGCCTGTCAGAATAGCCCCCTAGGGGATGAGACCGCAGCCAAGCGGTGCAAGAAGTCTACACAAGACAAGACAAAACAAAGTAAGCCATGAAACAAATGGCTCAGAACATCCAAGATATGAAACTCACCTCAGCCCATTCTGTTTCAGATCCAAGCAGCAAAACAAGCCACCTCAATCCTTGGGAACAAAGCCACGGCAAGCCCGACAACAAGGACAAGAGGAAGAACGAGAGCAATGAGAGAAGACGCACAGGATATCCGTGAGTACTTAAGCAGCCCTCTTTCCCAGCTTAGAGTGAACACCAGAACTAATCACTCGCTCCGTTCAACAGTATCATTGCACATAGAATTAGTCAACCCAGTGGACCATTGCTACTTGCTAGAATCAATCAAGACCAAAACGAGTAAGTCCACTCAGCCCGTGCAAAAGAGATAAGGTGCATGATCTGACACAAATCCAATTTGCACAGATCACAACCAACAACTACCGCACCTCATAGAAAATAGGACAGTCATCTAAAGTCCTAAGACAAAAGTAAATAAGCTCCTCTCTAGACTCGCAATGAGACAGACATCGTGATGCTGACTAAAGAGGACAGAAATGACTTTGTTCTTTCCCTCAGAACCTCTCTCCTTCTCAGTCTTTCCCAAATCGCTTTCATCCTATCCTCAGTCATATCTGTCTCGGCTACACCGAGCAGTAACAAACCCATAGCCAAGAAGCACGAACGATCCGTTCTGCTCTTAGGTAAATTTCTCTTACTTCATTTCTTTCAGAATAAATCATTACTTAGACAAAACAATCTTGTGCATAGAAATAAAAACTTATCAGTTCAAATGTCTAATCGAAATATAATCTCTTAGTTGTTTAAAATCTTACAAGCTGGTCTGACTTCCTCACATAAAAGTTGGTGATGTTGCATTATATTAGCCAGTCCAGTTGTTTTGAGGGAAATCTGGCTTGGGCCTGCTGTGTTATCCTACAGAATGAAAAAACTCTTTGAGTGTCCTTTCTGCCAAAACAATTGGTTTGGGGGATTGCCCATTGCTAAAAACATTGGTGTATGGTTAAACACACCAGCATTTTTTTTTGCAGGGGGGGTGGATTTGGGTCTGTACCCTGCTATCTGGTATGCATCAATCAATACCATTTTGAGTGGATGACACTTTTGGAGAGGGGATATCGTTATTTTTTTCTTTTTCTATGTTTGGGGGCTTTATTTTTTTGGCTTGTTTTTGTTTTGGGGTTTTATGAGTTTTTTTTTTTTTTTTTTTTTTTTTTTTTTTGACTTGCTGTTTCCTGGGGATAGTCATGGGAATGGAATTATATCAGGGTCATAGGCCAGTCCATAGGGAGGATCAATGTTGCAATGGGGGCATTTTCTCTTTGCTAGCCAGTATCCTGGGTGGGTTTCACTACAATGGTTGCAAATCAGGATGTTCCAGCCATGCTCAATTTCCTTCATACAGTTTGTATTGTGGCATGTGCGGGTTTTATAGGATGGGATTGGGGACTGCTGCCGGCACTTAGGGTTCAAGCAGATACCAACCCTGTATTCCTGGCTTGTTGCATCACAACTAGTGCAGGTTAATTTAGCTATCCTAGTTGGGATGTGGACATTCCAGATGATTGCTGGGGCTTGGCAGTCAATTTTATGTAAGATTGCTGATGTCTCAATGAAGAGTCCCAGTGCTGCTAGGACTATGAACCCAATGAAACACATCATGTGTGAGGTTGTGCAAGATTGAAGTGCAGTGGGGTTTGAACAGATGACTTGTGTAATTTCTTTTTGATCTGAAATATTTGATCAACAGCTAAGTACCCAGCACAACTATGTGGGTATGGTGAAGAGGATGACCAAAGTCATATTTAAAGTCTCAGACTCAGTGAAGCAATCATCCTAGGATCAATTGTGATCATTTATGAAATAAAAAAGCAGAATCAAATACTTAGTATACTTGATATGTGCTGATTCAATTGAACAGATGTGGATGTCAAGTTTTACTGGAAATCTCATGTTGGACCAATTGAAGAATACTTGCATTTTCTGGAGACTGTGGTAAATGCTAAAGCTTAGAAGCCAATGGCATTGGTGTCATTGTCAAGCAACCTGGACCAACACTGGGAAGCAAACTTGTCACAAGTCTCAGGCTGCGGGGGGCACATCTCGCAGTGTAGCGCTGGCCAGGCAGCTCCCAAAGGGGACTCCCGAAGGGGAGACTTGGGCCAGAGGTCAACAAACTCAGGTGCTGAGTTTCTAGTGTTTTGGTGGGAGCATCACAAGATTTGAAATCATGACCCTCCCTCAAAACTATATTGATGTTTGGCCCAGAATTCTTGAAGGGCTACATGAACCTAATGAGGCAGCCAAAATTCAGAATTTGAACATCACAATGGTAATCAAGATTGATTTTCTAAAATCAACGTTTGAACTCTTTTTACGCTGACATAAGTGGTTTGATGAACTTGCACACACCAAAAAAACTCAACTTTTGTTGAAAAGTTGTCATTTTTAAAAATAACTATATCAAAATCAACAATATTACAAGATAATATGAGCAGAGGGAAAAATTTACAAGAAGCAGACCCTCCTTGGTCCACACGGAAATTAGATAATAATGGAAGAGGAAGAGCATAGGCAGAAAAATGCACAAAAAACTGGCTTTCAAGTCCAAATTTGAAAGCTCACCATGCGGGGATTGCCGCATCTGTCACATGGACAGCTCTGCTGCTTGCTACCACTCCCACCATGGAGGCCTAGTTAAGCTCGACTGGGAAGCTACTTTTTCATTTATCTCATTGCATTGATGGGTTGCTAGAGGCCAGGTATCCAACACTTCAACCTATGAGCTCTAAAAATACAACTGTGATTGTCTCATGAAATTGGTCAAAAAATTAATAATTTTTGACCAGCCAAATCTCTTAATTCTAGATACAGCAGCCAATTTTAGCTACAGATAACTGGTGGGTTGGATAATGTTTTTCTGCTCTTGCTTAAATTATCATGGTTACACTAGGCACATTATTACTAAAATTCTTTTGGAATTTGAAAGAAGACAGCCTGCATATTCATACATGCAAAAAAAAAACCATTGGGTTCACAGTTAAAAACTGTAGCAAGTTACAAGTCCAAAAAAAGTAACTGATGTGTAACTTCCCAATGTTGCCTGGACAAACCATCATTCTTTTAGTTGGTCCTGGACTAAGGTCTTGCTGTCAATGCACTCAGCAACCTGATCAAAATCAAATTTCTGATTGCCTCCTGGCATCTTGCCTCATTGATCTATATTCAATCAATTTTTCCCACAAGATGTGACAACTGACTACGTGCCACTGTCTTTGCTAGTTCTGGACGTTGAAGTTACAGATTATAGACCCTGCTTATGTTTTTGGTTTCACTAAAGCAACTGCTTTCAGAATATCTCATTGGGACCATTTTGTGGTTGAGGGTCTGGGCAGGGGCAGAGATGTAGAAAAAAAAGGGCTGAAAACTCTATATTTACTTTTCTCTTTCCATTGTGGAGTCTACATATCACCCCAGTAGACACACACAAGTCTATTATTTGATGAACATGAAAGCATGAATTCTACGCAAAAGAGAAATATCCTAGATACATAAGACTTTCAATGAGTAGGAAAACTGCTAGAATCCAAAAAGAAAAGAGAACATTGCAAGGGACTGGCAGAAGGAGAACAGAGAGAAAGAAAGGACAGAGATGACAAGTAAAGATGAGTGAACTTCGGGAGTATACATAGAACACCCAAAAAGCTTTCTTTTGAATGTTTCTCGAGATAGATATATCAAAGATGATGTGATCGAAATGGACAGATGGAGATGAGCCGGATAAAACAAATCGATTTATTCATCTGAGTCTGTCATGAATTCGCCCTCCTCGCCCTAATTCAAGTATAAAACATGGTATGTCAGCCAACCATGAATCTGGAAGATTACCACAAAGGCAGATTTGGAAATGGAGCCAAAACAAGACAAAATTATGGAAAGCAAAAGTGAAACAAAAGACTAACATCCTCAAAGGCATCAGCAATCAAACCAAAGTCGACTTTGTATCTCAGGATCCCACCGATCCCACCGAAGCCCCGAACGAATTGGGAGCCTTCGGTACTTCGATTTGTGACGAACTCTAAGGCCGCCCCGAACTCCTGATACTTCTCAGCCAACCATTCGAGTAGAGATTGGGGTTCGGCAGCTTGTTCCATCTCCAAGCCGGTAGCCTTATCGATGAATTTCTCTCGCTCCTTCTCAGGTAAATGAGCCAATGCCAGTGAGGTTCCTCCGCTGTTGCCTCCCGACTGACCCGCGCTCGTATTGTTCGAGGCCGTTGGCGGGGGTGCATTTGTGTGAATGATGATCGTCTCTCCTGTTGAGGATCGTAAGGTGTGACGTGTGATATCAAGATTCTCCCATACAATTAAGGTCTCGACTGATCCCAGTTCCAAACCTCGGAGGGTATCTTCAACTCCAAAACAATACTTTCCGGTATCAAGTGCGATTTCGTCAAAATATTTTTGAATCAATCTGAACAAAAACCCATTGAAATGTGGAATGGATAGTCAGTATCACGACTCAGGGTGGGCAAGCCAGAGGATAATGAGAGTTTTTGTCACTCAACTTTTTCTCTTGGATGAATTTAACCTGTGACAGACTTTCCGCAGCTAATTCAATAGCTTGATTGAATCCATTTTCACCTCCATAACTAACATCGACTATTTTGATGACTTTGGCAGCCAACCGAGGGTCAAACATGTCACTCTGGCTCAACTCTGTTTTGAAATCCGCACTACCAGCCATTACGATTCCTTGGACGTTGACCTTATCATTTGTGATGAAATGTTGGACGGCGAATTCGGCAACCTTACGGACGTAGTTGTGTCTCTTTTCTTCTCGGAGTCGGGCAAAACGAAGTGCAGATTGACCACCACGACCGTGTTTCTTGGGTAAGTCGACTGTAAACTTGTGAATGACTTCTCGAGTATTGCCGGCAAGAGTACCAAACAAGGAACCATTTCCGTCCATGACAATGAAGCCAAACTTGGCATCGGATTCCAATAGTTCAGAGAGCGCTTCGGTGTGAAACTTATTGTCACATAAATAGAGTGATGTGTTAATTGGCTTGAAGGGCTCAAAGTCGAAGTTCACTTTCTTTTCCTTGCCCTCATCCGTCAGGATCGTTCCACAATAGACAATCAATCCGTTTGGTGGAATTCGATTGTAAAGTTTGAGTCGCTGTTGTGTGGATGTGATGGCAGCCAAAACAGACAATCGATTTACCCGGGATTTGATATTTGAGCTGTTTTCAGTTAGACCATCGCACAAAAGACATTTCTTTTCATCAGCTTTCATGCTTGTTCCTGGGGGAATTGAATTTAGATCGATGGGTTGTCCGACTGTTCTGGGCGAGCTGGTTTCTGGAGTCACAAAACTCAAAACGGAGGAGGACTAACGCTGTGCCATATTCTTGAGCCAACATGTTAGCTGCTTGACTGATTTGAGACTTCGGCGGTAGGATCAAGCTGATCATACTAGTTCCGGCGCCTCGAGCGGCCTCGAGACTTTTGACCACTGGATACAAACGAAAAAAGAAAAAACACCGCTTGCCTCAGTAACCCTTCCAAAAGCTATCAATTGTGTATATCGAGACTCAATAAATCAGTAGAGAAAAGTTTTGAAATCACACTTCTTGATCTTCCATATCTGTGGATGATGAGGTAAAGAGAGTCACAATAGACTCGTCAGTCTCTGACAAGTTCCCCATGCAAATAAACTGAAATCACGGAGAAGGATGTGAAATCTGGGGCAGGACTGACTTGAATGTTTTGCTCGGCTTCCGACTGAGGTTGTCCAGACATCTCGTTGGCTGGTTCTGCGGTTTTCGAGCCTTTTTTTAGTATAGGATATAAGTATGGCCTTCCTACGAAGATGCTTCTGTGAGGTTTTCGAGGGTGTTTCGCTGGGCTGTGTACTCCCTCGCAACACGTTGGACGGCACCACACCCGTGTACCGGAGGAGGAAATATAGCGCATCGGTCCCCCGATCGAAGCCACACCTCGACGTCACGCTGGCAGATGTGCGCAGCGTACCAATTACGTATTCATTGATACCCTTGGGAAAGCCGCAGCAACCTCGAAACCCGCCACCGGTCGGCTGTCATGTTCCCACAGTCGGGCATCCAAGAATCCCAGATTCTTGTGGGCCAACTTCCAACTGGGCAGCATAGGCAAATTGCTGGACACCACATTCAATTTAGGACCCCAGTGATGTCCAGAATGTTGAGGAGGAACCCTTTCAAACTGGTTAATGCTGAAACAATACTGTACAATCTGCATGCAACTAAAAGAATAGATTGAGAGAGCCAAACAAGGTGACACTGACATGCAATCTAATGCCGGTGTCAACCTCCGATTCACATTTATCAACACCCACTTTAGACCAAGACAGGTTCCCAATTCAAGCAATACCTCCAAAAGAGGCAAAAGGTCATTGAGTAAAACCCCCCATCATTCAGGGCAAAAACAAGGTCAACAAGTCAAACTCCCCAAAATTGGGGGCAAATACTAGTAGAGGTATAGGGAAATACAGGTATTGTATCTTTTTTCCAATACTTCAAAAAGAAATATTTTTTATTTTATCTAAAATCAGATGCTATGAAGAGTATTGTATCAAAAAACTGATATACATTTTTTGGCCAATTGGGACTATATCCAAAACCAACACCGCAACAGCTTCGCTACAACAAGCGGGTAGCGTAGCGGAAGCGCAGCGGTTTGGGGATCGCTCCGCTGAGCTATTAGCAGCGAGAAGGCCGCTTCGCTCTTCGCTGATTGTCCCGAGTCAAAAAATATCCAGAATTCAGCGCGCTATTATCAGCGGCCAGAAGCGGCGGTTCGCTTTGCTTGCCGCTTAAACAGCGGAAAATTCGCTGAAAAGTGTTTCGTTTTCCGCTAAAAAGCGGAGAGTCGTCTGGAAAATTTCTTTGAAGTTATATTGTGTACGAAGTTACTATTCTCTTGTTGTATGTAAGGCAGAGCAGCGTAGAATAGGTATGTAAGGCAGAGAATCGTAGAACAGGCACGCAGACGTGAGATAGAAATGCAGACGTAAGCCTAGGGGCAACAGGCAGAAGGTATGAGAGTCAAGACTAAGTGAGGCAGGCAGATGTAAGAGGCGCAGGCAGACAAGCAAACAAGCATAAGGGAGATGGTCCAAATCATCCCCCTGAGATTACAATATGAGATCGGGGTTGAATTTAGGATTTTTGTCTGCATTTGAAAAGATTGCCAGACAGTCGTCAAAGTCGTGTTGAGCCTCAACTCCATTTCGAAACCACAGATGACTACTAATGCATCGTTCAATTGTTCGAGGTGCAAGAGCGCTCCGACCAGTTGTACAGATGTTGGAAGCAGCTGAGAATGTTCGCTCCACTGTTGCGGAGCTGCTGGCACAAGCTAAATAGTCCCGAGCAAGAGACGACAAGACTGGGAATGACGGGGCTTGAGTCTACATAGCGTAGTTTATGAAACCAAAGTTGGAGCAATTGGTCAGGCACAGCACATCACCGAAAGTAAGGAGGAGGTGCAGCAAACACATACCTTCCACCAAAGCAAGACATTTCCTTTAATTCCTAGTGAGAACTTTGTCTCGTGGTATCGGTTCAATTCGTCTTCGCTGTCATCAAGGGAAGGGTTGACTGGGTAGAAGTTATATCCTTCATCTTCGGGATCGACTTTTTGAGAAGCCTCCTTGGTTGGTGGAAGGGCCGGTGGTTTCAACATAGGTTGACGTTCCTTGAATTTCTTCACAAGAAGAGTTTGAGCCGAGCTATGATGGGAGGGGAATTTGTTGGCAAACAATAGTAATCGCCACGCAGGATGCAACATTGTTGCCATCAGTATTGGTTCACACTTCAATGCGAGCTCCTTGTACTTGGAGGCTACTTTGATCATCGGATCGAACATAGCCTCCAAGATTCCATCCTTGCTAGCCTGTTTCAACTGTCCCAGGTTATCGATCAGGCGACTGTATTCATAAAGGACCATTGAGCATGATGGTCCGTCCCCTTCCATCCGCTTGGTTAGATACAAGAATTCCTGAAGTAGAATGGACATTAGTGGTCGATCAAAAGACAGTTTTTGCTTTGAACAATTTTGATTTACCTTGAGAACCGAGTTGAGTACCTTGATATTATCCCATTCCTTTGAGGAGAACTCGTACCCATTAAAGTATTTACCATTACCGTTTTCAGTCTCATTCACAAGGAGTTGGTTGATAACCTGTCAAAGCAAGCAACAAAATTCATTTGATGAGTGTTGCATAGTGGGGTCTTATTGTAACACTAAGATTAAAACTGACCTTTCGAGCCTGGTAAGCTCGGTTCCGGCTTTCGTATGCTATGTTCCATCGTATGCCGTAGCCACCAATTATTCCAGGACCATCATAGCCTAACTTTTGTGCCCACACTTTATATTCGGCTTGTTTGGCGGGCGAGCTACATATTCGACGGCAGACGTAATCGATCTGGTTCAGATCAATCAAGAATTTGAATCGGTCAGTTTCTAAGAATGGAGGTGAAACTGGTTAATCATTTTACCTTTTTCAAGGTCAGACCAATACCACTGGTGGCGTACTTCCCCTTAGTTTTATTCTGAACTACCTCGGTATTTTCAACTCCTTCAGAACCGGAATCGGAGTCCGAGGCTGGGACGTCATCTGGATCAATTTCTTCTTCAGCCTCCGATACTTGAACCCCATCCTCAAACAACTCGCCCTCTTCGCTGATGGTTTCGAGAGTTGGAAAGTTTTCGGGTTTTTTGGAAGTTGGGCCCTCGGCTGATGATAACTTTACCGCAGCCAGACCTGCACCCAGGATTAATGCCAGGACATGGCAAAAACATCGCTGATGGTTGACATTATTGTTCCAGAATGTGTCATCGTGCTTCTCAATCAATCGTGACAATTCTTTGGTCATGGTGAAGTTATTAGAACCAGAGTCGGTTGTCTTTGAAAGGATGTATTGGGAAAAAAAAACATAACAAAGTAAGATCTTGGAAATGGGATGAAGAATTATGTTGAGTTCAGAAAGCTTATCTTTTTATGAAGTTCATTCTTGATCAGAACCTTGGCGAAAGGGGCAGCAAGATATATGCCCTTGTGATGCCACGAGATATACTTAATTGAGAGATGTCGACATTGATACACCCAGTCCTTTGTGATGTAGCACACAGATATACCTAAAAAAGCTTTGTGGCCACCTTTGGTGGTCCACACATCCGAGACTAGGCTGATTTTTGAGTCGGATTTCTGAGAGTAACACAAATGGCAAAGTAAATCAGTCAGATGTGGATTTCATAACCCCTTGAATTCAATACCAAATGTATCTCTTACATTGATATCTTCCAAAACAGTACGCTGTTGAGCCAAGTAGAGTTTGTGTGCTGTTTCGGCAGCCCACGTTCGAGAGTGAAGTTTGGTTGTTGAGTCCACATAGTCCATGGCAATACGTAGGGTTCTGTCTTCAAATCGGGCCCATGGGAGACAATGGCGGATAAGCCAGAATACCATAAGCTTATTGAAGGTGTTGTTGTCGAAGCGACCTTTGATAACGTAAGAGGCAAGTGTGTTGTTGATTGGCTTCTTTGATTCCAAACTCTCTTGAGAAATTGCAGAAGCGGTTTTTGGCAAGATGCTACCGGAAGCAATGGCCTTCAATCGGTTTGGACAAGCTTGTCGGATCGTTCCCTTGATGTTTGATCCATCACGATGGACTTTGAGGTTATAGTATGAGGAAGATGAAGCCTTTACGATCTTTGAGCACCATACACAAGCATAATTCAGACTATGTTCAACTTGCTTGAAGTAGAGCAAGACACTTTGTGTGCCATCTTTACGCGGTGCAAGCTTCCTATCTTCCTTAGATTTTTTTGATCGGCCAGCCGCCTGCGCATTTTCGTCATCAGAGTTTTGTTCAAGGTCGTACAGGGAAGCCGAGTTGAAGGAGCTTGAGGTAGCAGGTTCTTGTGATTTGGGATCTTCCTGGAGACATTTACCAATTCAAAATGAATACCAAACAAAGCTGTAATGTATCTAAATGCTAATGACTGACCTGGGTTGTGGCTGTAGGGGTTGAGGAGGTATTTGGTGCAGCTTCAGGACTACTAGTATGACCATTTAAAGAGGTCACACGGACATTGGCCTGGAGGGCTTTTCGGGAATCGGCTTGAGTAGGAACAAATCCCGGATTAACTAGAGGATTTCTTTTACGTGCGGATTGACGGATCATAAAAGATGAAGACTGGCAGGAAGGGGTAGAAACAGAATCATGCACAACCTGGATATCTTGGTCAGGAGTCTGGTCTCGGGTCATCTTTGCAGTGAAAACAAGAGGGAATGAACTTGAAACTATTGTAAATTTAATAAGCCATAAGTATAATTATATAAAGTCCAATTGAGAGAGGCAGCTCCAGAAAAAAGGAGTATCTGGATTCAGGTGGGGAGTGCCGGTGGCTTGCACGGTGACAATAACTACCTTCCACACATTTATAACCAGGTTGGAAATCCTGGGTGCACCTGTGGGTCAAATATTGGCTCCTTCAGCGCAGAAAAGCGCAGCTGTTCAGCTGTTCTCAGTGGATAGCGGCCAGAAGCGGCCAAAAGCGCCCCGCCAACCGCTTTACCGCTCTCGCTTCGCTATTTTGTAGCGAAAGCGCAAAAAAATCGCTCCGCTATGCGGAGGGCTCAAACCAAGCAGCGGTTTGTTCGCTGCGCTGGCGCTGATAACAGCGTTTATTTGCTTCAGCTATCGCTGTTTTATTCCAAAGAAAGCGGAATGTAGCTCCGCTGCGCTAATTTGCCGCTTTTTCTAGCGCAGCGCAGTGGTTGCGGTGTTGACAGCATGAATGCGAGTGAGAGTGAGACTCCGAGGCTCAATGACATGGTTGTCATGAGGGCGTGAGACTGGACATTGGTGTGGAAATATCCGGTCATGGTCAAATCAGATTTTGTATTTTTCATTTTTGATCAAGCATAATATCTTTGGCTTGAGGAGGAGTGGTAGGAAAGTAAAGGCATGGAAAAAATGAGAAAAATCATGCAAATCTATGTCCTGCGCGGCTTCCCTAACAACAGTGATCTTGTGGGGCAAATGGGGTGTTTTGTGATTTATCCGGCCATTTGGCTGGATGCCCTCAGCCCAGATGTGTGACATTATGTGCAAGTCCCTCCCTGACGGGAGGGGGCCCAAAGGGAGGGACTTGTGTTAAGTTCGGGTCTGATGGTGTGTAAGGATTCTTCCCTCATCCTTTCACAACCATCACACCCAGGTATGTTGTTTTCGGTCTTTCTTTTCTCTTTTGCTCTTTCTCTCTAGTGTTGTTTGTTCTCTCACATATTGAACTAATAAAATCCTTTCACAACCATCACACCCAGTCTCTGTTCATTGCATCATCCACAGTGCCCTTCCAAGGCTGTCCTGAGGAGCCAAGGATCTCACTCAACCTCCTGTGGGCACCTGGTGGAAATCAGGTGGTATCCCTGGGGAACCTGATGGGCCACAGCAAGACAAATGGGAGTGGCCCCAAAAATGAAATCAAGGCAGGGTAAAACACACAACCAATCAGAGCAGTAGCGGGCTGAGGCATCAAACTAGCCACTTGGCTAGAGTGAACTTGCAGGAAAGGCTTCTCTTCAATGGCCCATCCACAACAATTGACTGGCTGCCAGTTGATTTTACCCTCATCTAACTATTTTTTTCAGTTTTTCTTTTTTTTGTTCAAAACCCACTATACTCAAGATTTTGGAGAGTCAGGACCCATCTTGACAGGTCCTGTAGGTTAAAAACAGATAAGTGTTGTGGAATCAATGTGGGTCACAAGCTCTGTGCTCTCAACAAGCTTGAATGTTGGTTTGTGGAACCAACAAGAAAAACAACAAGCCATGGAACCATCAACGAAATCAGTTTAGTTTGTGGAACCAAAATTGAATTGGCAAATTTTGTGGGATCCAAAATCCTGCATGGCATGCCACTGGGGTGTAGTATTGGCCTTTCAATACAACACAGATACAATTTATGGATAGAAAAATCAATCCAATACATGTATTGTATTGTTTCACCTTTTGTTCTAAGATAGATAGCTGAGGTGTGAGGAAAGACATAAAACACAAAGCTCACCTCAAGGTCTTACTAGAACTCTTTGGAAAGATACCAAACCTTGTTGTTTAGTTGAATCTTGTGTAAATAAATCTTGCACCATTGTAATTTCATGCTATATTATGGACTCTCATAAAACCACAAATTCCAATCTCAAACAACAAAACAAAATTAAAAGGCAGCAAGAGGTCAGGGTTTGCACAATAGGATCCAATTCTTCTTGCTCTGTAGAGGCAAGCAATAAAAACTTAAGTATCCCTAGTTTGCATATTTATCTTCAATATTAGTACCTACTTGTAACATTTTTTCAAATTGCACACAGATTTGGTGCCCTATTCTGTAGATAGATATCCTCAATCAGTACCATAGGCCCTAGTATAGGGACTGGCACTATACTAAAAAAAGAAACAGTTGGTGTGGTAAGGATGTAATTCCCCTATTTATCAGGGTTCCGCCCATATGAGATACCGAAATAGAGTGCAGTACATCCATTAAAACTATTAGTATGAAGTATGCCTACTTAGTGGCAGTACTACTAGTACTTTTTGAAAAATAGTTTGAAATCTTTGCTTCTTACACTCAACAATTTGTAATTTAACAGGAATAGAGGAAAGATTGATCATGTTTGCTTCCAGACACACGAGCTTCTACAATGTAAGCTCCATAATAAATCAAAATCAGGTTTCATGTGAAATTTCAACTGAAGAAGTATTGGTTTTCATCTATATATTATGGCTGTGTGGAAATGAAGAAGGGCACTCAAATCTTTGATGTTCAATTTTCTAACAAAGAGGACAATGATTCTAAAGATGCAATTGGATTTAACTTTAATTGGGATGTATTATTCAATGGAATAAGATGCATTGAATTGATGTCAATAAAGAAGCCCAAATCAGTGACCACCCACTGTGGGTTTTTTTGGCAGTAAATTCCTCTGACAGGCCCTAACTGTTTGAGGAGGTATTACAACACATTTAACGTAGTCAATCCAGGGCAGTCATGGATCCAAATACAATCTTTATGGAGTGTTTGACTCCATATTCACTTCCTTCACTTAATTTAATTCTCAATTACAAACCCTGGTATCTTAGGGTGTACCTCGAGTGACTCTCGAGTGACTCTCAACAAGGAAACATGTCCTGGAACATCGGTGCTGATTGGGAATCTGGCTATGTATCTTGGTGGGTGTTTGGTGTGAAAAGATTGCTGCTGAAAACCACGAAGATTGGCTGAAGGGGTCTTGAAACGTCATCGGTGGGTTTACCAGCACTATGTAGAACGTGGCTTACGTTTCGGTTAAATGCCCGCTGCCGTCGCCGAACTCGCGCCAACTTCCTGCCTCCTCATCACTATCAGGCTGTGTCGATCGACAATTTCTTTTGCACCAAGTCCCACTCTAAGCAGACTCTGAGTCCGGCAACACACTCCCAACTTTGGAGGCCTTGGCGATTGACCATCGTTGGAGTACAAACATCCTCATCGGGGCGGAGTGGTTTGTTAAGAGTCAGTCAGTAATCCATCTTTCGCCTGCCCTGCCGATCGAATGTATGCGTCTCCAGCTTCACATCGAGCTGACTATCGATGTATTTCTGTATTAGTCCTACAGACTACACGTCGTTAACTAAAGATAACGGTTCAAGGAAGGAGCTACTGAAGAGGGAAACTCAAAACTATCACGATAATTGTGAATGAAGTTTGAGGTTCAACTTGACTCATGTCGGTCTAAAACTGACCAGGATATCTACTCTGATAGGTCCATCAACAACATGCAAACAGCTACCTTACAAGAGGATCGTCCCACCGATCAACCCCATAACCAGAACGGCAACAAATCAAATCCTATCATTAATTTCCAAAAAGAAATCGATGAAATTGCTCGCAAGAACCATCAGCCATCAGCCACTACCCTGCTCTCAGATAACCATACCCATGCACTGGTCTCTCAGTTAGAGAATTCACATATCACAGCCGATTCTCTCTTGGTTGGATTAGAGAAAGTCAATCAAGTCGAACCGGGCGTCCCTCTCAAGGTGCGGCGGAATGTTTCAGTACCTGGATTGTAATTCCCATGAGGAGCCCCACTTGATCCTGATTGTTTACTCTCGATTAACGATCCAAAGGCACGACTGCTCAATCGATCTAGTTTCATGACCAAGTCACTCGCAACCTATCTTGAGAAAAGGCTGGTAACCGATCACGAATTGATCATCTACCTAGGCCCACACAACCTCCATCATCCATCTCTCGGTGTCCTTTTTCAATCTGAATATGAGTTGTCTGCGGGAGATCCTGCCCAGAAGCTTTCACTCACCTCGAACGATAAATCACAAATTATTGAAGGATTACAGGAGATCTCAAATTCGATCGGAGCCGAAGTTTTTACTCTCTGGGATGGTTTTCAAGATGAGAAAGTCCATGAACCTCAACCCGACGAGGAAAGCCTTGTTGACAAGCTGGCTGTAAACGACGAAGCTATTTTGGAGCGTTGGAATCCTAGCTCAATGAGACTGTTAGTAACTTTAGCCCCGCCAAATAAATTCATTGTTGATGCTTCTCGTACATCTCCTCAGTATGATTCGGAGCATCCCTGAAAGTGCGCACGACATAGTAGAGTTGCGTGTAGCCTGTGTTGGAAATGGTACGCTTGCGATGTCATCAACTTCTTCCTTGCTTTATGAAAGAAATGTATTTACTGAAAAATCGAATCTCGTCCTTTGTGCACTGTATCCGCTTTGGCAGTCGATTCCGGAAAAAGTACCACTTTAGGCGTGCTTACAAAAGGAAAGTTAGATGATGGTCGTGGTCGGGCTCGAGTATCTTTGTTTCGACATAAACATGAGCTGGACAGTGGTCGAACATCATCTGTCGGTATGGAAATTATGGGATGTAAGTCACTCATCAATTGTCCTCAGGTTTCTCACTTTTAAAAGCTATCTATGACTTTGAATTTAAAGATGAATTAAGCATACAATCTTTTTGGATCTTTTAGTTGATGCTAAAGGTAGGGAGGTTCGCCCTGATGGGGCTGCTGGTGACCTGCTCACAGCTTCCAACCAAGTTGGATTAAGGAAACAGCAACTCAGCTGGGACGATATTTGTAAGAAGGCGGCCAAGGTGGTCAGCTTCATTGATTTGGCTGGACACGAGCGTTATCTAAAGGTGAGAGTTTGCACTGCTTCATAGGAACTGGACAGCTTTCTTACCTGGCTTTTTGTTGAATTTTACAGACAACTATCTTCGGCTTGACGGGCTGTTCGCCTGATTTTGTCCTCTTGATCATCGGTGCTAACGCCGGGCTCATTGGCATGAGCAAAGAACATTTATCGGTTGCTCTAGCATTGTCTATCCCGGTTGTTGCTGTGATCACTAAAGTTGACATGACGCCGGCTAACGTATTGGAACAAACTGTTAAGCAACTCGTCAAAATCCTTAAAAGTCCTGGCTGTCGGTGAGTTTTATTTCACTGTAACAAGGACTCGCTTAGTTCTTCATCCTTTTTGCTTTATCCGAGAATCTCTAAGGTTTTATTTTCATTTCATCTTTTTACAGTAAGGTACCTGTATTTGTCAAAAATGAAGGAATGAGTTCCGAGTTAGCTCAAACCTTTATACAAGAGAAGGCCTGCCCAATCTTTATGATCAGTAATGTTACTGGAAATGTGAGTGAACATATCGATCGATCCATTCCAATCCGTTCACTTTGAACAAACTTACTCAATGAATCAAATGTTGTTTTCTTTGATGTCAAAGGGCATAGCACCACTGAAGGTATTCTTGAACAGTCTTCCTGCTGGTCTTGAGGCGCAATATCCGACCGATGACCCTTTGGAGTTCACTATGTGAGTTTCTTTCGGTAAGCTTCTTCAAAGTACTACTGATGCTAATCCTTGTTGATTTGCGCAGATCCGATGCGTTTTCAGTGCCATTTGTTGGGACGGTAGTTTCAGGCGTGATAGTCTCAGGCCATTTGGCAACAGGCCAGGAAGTGTGGTTAGGGCCGGATGGCCTTGGTCATTTCCAACTCACCATCATAAAATCGATTCAAAGGAAACGGGTTCACGTTGATCATGCTCATGCTGGTCAAAGTGTTAGTCTAAATCTTAAGCGAATCAAACGCTCTGGAGTTCGAAAAGGAATGGTCATCCTTTCTAAAAATCTCGAAAGTCCACCGAAAGCTACTAAAGTCTTCGAAGGTCAAGTATTGATCCTATACCACAACAGTACCGTCAGTTCTCATCCAGACAAACCTCTACGTATTATTTAATCGCATGTTCTCTGATTGTCTAAACATTTGTTTGTTTCTGGTTATCAGATCCAGCCCAACTATCAAGCAATGCTTCATGTTGGGAGTGTGAGACAAACCGTGAGTCAGATCTGATTTTTCATTTATTCTTTCATGAGGCGAAACTAAGCAGTCCTGCTTAAACTTCATCCCACTAAACCGATTTACCGCCTACCGACATTCCGATCACAAACACTAACGCTCCGATGTTACGCGGTCATTTTGTTTTTATATCAAAAACAGGTCAAGATTTTATCTATCGAGAAGAGTAAAGTCTTGAGGACTGGTGATCGAGCTAAGATCAAGTTCGAATTTATGAAGCAACCCGAGTTTGTCAAGCTTGGCCAAAAACTTCTGTTTAGAGAGTTGAGTTTCATGTTTCTTACCAAGCCTAATTCTGTTATTTTGATTGTTGGATTTTGGAAATTGATAAATTGGTACTGATCAATGTCTTATGTAACTTGCCATTCTTATAACTCTTCTGCATACAAATCCTCAATATGACAATGTCGGTATCAACTTTTGACTCTATGGCATTGAATCCAATGAAATCAGAGGTAAAACAAAAGGCTTAGGCGTCATAACTAAACTCCTTTAACCGCATGGCAAAAAACTAACAAAAGAAAAAAGGTGCCAAACTCATCATTAGTCTGATTGGTCTGATGTCTCATACACCTATGATAACTCAATGGTCTCATGAGCACCTATGATAACTATAGCTTCTAGCTGCCCCCACCTTATGTTTTCTTTTCTGTTTCTTTATATCCAATGTTTGTAAATTGATGTATGTTGTAAAAATATTTTGTTGTCCTGAGAAACCTTTATAACCATTGTCTCCTCCAAGAAAACATCACTGACTTGTCTGAGATGTTTTGTTTCTGGATTTTTAAATGTATTTCCATTCCCCATTTTTTTTTCTCCTAAAGCCATATGTCTGAGTCTTGTCTGACATTATGATATTTTTGCAAGTCTCCCTGGGTACTACCTCCTCTTTGAAAGAAGAAATGAAAAATTGTCTATTTCAGACAGATTCTGAATGGATTCTTTTGAGCTCCTGCATGCACTTCACCACCTGTTTATACTTGTTTCTCCCAATGGGCTGTATGTAAATTTGTATACATGATATCCCAATAACACTTTCCATGTATATGCACCTATATATACTCCCAAATCATCAGTTGTCAGGCATGATAACTGATGAACCCATAGATTGACTAAGTTGGCCTGATGATCAAAATTCTATGGGTGTCAGCCTACGTGATGCCAAGATATAAAATCTTCTAGCTACACGTGGTGCAAAAGTAAGCAAAAACTCAAAGGTTTTTGGTATTAATTTTAAAGGAATAAATTCCAATAAAAGGAAAGGAATTTATGGGAATTTTTTAGAAAAAAGTGGCCAATTTATATTAATAAAATTAATATAAATTAAACCTGAGGGGCCTGATAAATCAGGGGTGGTTAGATCCCTCAAAGGTATCGTGCAAAAAGCAGAGGATTTAGGTACCTGGTACACTGGGGCCTGTAAACAGGGGTGGTTTAAATCCCAGTAAGAAATAATAGGGAAAATCTCAAGAAAAGGGTTATTACTCACTAGTAATAATCCTGTAGGGTCTTGAGGATCTTCAGAGTAGAAACTGGGCAGTTGAAAGCGCTCAAAAAGGTGGATTTTGGGTGCTGAGTGATCACTGGGAAGTTTCTTGAGGGTTCTTGAGGCTTAATAACAGCAATTTATAGTAGTAACTAGGCTAATTACAAGTGTAGGAGACTTGTAAATGGTAAGTAAATTTCTATAAGGTATTGTAAAGCTGGGGGTTCATTATTTGAGCGGTCAGAAGGCCTTTTAAATACCTGTGGAAGGCCTCAGGGGTTGCTCAGGGGAGCTTAGTAGGTCTTGGGAGCGCTTTTGGGCCCATTTTAGCCCACATGGTGACGCAACAAGGGCTGAAACCTTGGGGATAATATTCTAGAAGCTCCAAGGGGTCATGCACGAATTTATTTGAACCAAGAATATCCCTTAGGAGCCGGTGGGTAGAGGCTAGTCTGTTACGTGGAGCTATTTCCTTGGAAATGGGCCACAGAATATCCAAGAGGTGGTTTCTGAGGCTTGCTACACGTGTTGCCACTTGGAATATAGAATATTCTAGGTTACTGTAGTATTTTCATGCATATTCTAGTTTGTTTATATTTTTATTACACGTGTGGAGGCTTTGTTGTCACGTGTAATGGGGATTCTGTGGCGCTTGTGGCCCATTTCTTGGATACTGGTAACCCAGGGGGGTTTATGCATGTATCCAAGGCGGGTAGGCATACCTAGCACGCGCGGGGGCTTGAGCCTTGGGCTCAATTGTAGTCAGGCGCGCCTGTCAACAGTGCGCAGCATGACTACGCGGCGCGCGGGCTTGGAGACAGTACACGCCACACTGGTCTATCTTCCAAACTATACACAACACTCCAAATCTGAGACAAGATTTGGAGTATATGCATTTTGTTATGTATGATGCATAATTATTCAGGTGCCCGTGATCCATGGGTACCTGTTAATTCTTCAAGTGAGTTTTACATGATGAAGGAGTTATAATTAGGGGTACCTTTGGCTGAGGTACCCTAGGTTAAATTGTACGTAGATTAAGAATTTGTAATAACAATTAAAGTTTTCTCTACTATTTCTAAGTTATTTATATATTTTTAAGTGTTTTTTAAGTTATTTACATAAGTAAATTAGTTTCTTTTACTTATGTAATGTTTTTACTTTATTCTTAGATTTTTTGTGTAATTTGTTTTAATTTGCTATGACAGGTTGTCTCTGCCATAGTAGCAAGCTGACAATGGGAATATGCTTTTGCTCATTCCATTGTATAAAGGTATCTCTCCAAAATGAAAGATGAGTGGAAACAGTGCTTATGATTGCGTGCAAGAGTTTGATGCAATGGAAACAGCCTGACTGAAGCTGAAATTGACTCAAAAGTGAACATAAATTGGAAGGATCATAAAGATGCAATACGACACTTGATTGAGGCGGTTTCAAGGGCAGCCTTGGTTCAGTCCTTCCAACAAGATTCAGATCTGATTGCCTTAAAAAAAGAAAACACATTTGGTGTAGGATCCAAACCAAAAAAATAGAGATTAGACATTTATTTCATTTTCTGTTTTAAGAATTAGAATTAAGAATTTAAACATATGATTTTTTTGGAGAGACTGGGAAAGAGGGAAGAACTTGAAAAGAATTGCGACTAGACTTGAATTTTTTGAACAGGTTCATGAGATTTTTGAACAGATGTGAAATTGTTATATATTTATTTTTGTAAGATACTTGTGTATTAGTATTTAGGTACTTGGGTTATAATTTTGATCAGATCATCAAACTATCTTCAAAAAAAAACATTTTATGTTTGAAGATTTTGGATTATAAATCTAGATTTTGTGAATTGATTTTTCCAATTGGTGTTGTGGCTTTACACTAAAACTATGCTGAATAGAAATTGAATCAACAATAGGAGATGGGACATATTTCATTTCCCAGGGTACCAAATTCATTGACTGAAACCTTAAATGTTGTACTCTTGCTTTACCATCACTTTTGTAACCATGATACAAACGAGATCTACAACATACAATGAAATTGAACAACCTCTTTTCTGTTTTGAAAATTCCCCTCCACTTCTCATTGTTTTTAATCTTGTAATAGTATCCCAGTATATTCACGACAATCTGTGTCAAAATTAAATCCTCCTCTAGCACATCTGAGTCACCATTTGCATATACCCTTATCTTTGAATGATAAACAATGTCATTCTGCTTCAGGTCAAAGAACTTCAACATCAAATCATACAATTCTTTGCTTTCAGACCTATGAAAGAAATTTTCCTTTTCTGGAAGGACTTGATGGCCGTATTCATTGGTAACATTGACTCCAAATAAAATTTCAACCAAGAATGATTGAACAGATGCTTGCTGCTTTGTAAAGGATTCTTGAGACATCCCATATCCCAAAGTATCTAAAATCCCAGCTTTCACCACCCAAAGATGATTGAATAGAGTGTCCATTTTACTATGAAGATGACTTGAGAGATTCTCATCCTTGACTGATGCTTCCTCAAGCTTTCCTCTTGTCTCTTTCACCCAAAGCTCTACAACTTCATCAATCTTGGGTATATTGAAGGAATGAGGTCTGCTGAACTCATCTTTAAACCTTGAAATCCATGCCCAATAAATTGGATCTGGTGCTTCCAAGTAAACAAATTTGAAATTTGATGATTCACTCATGGAATCAGCTGGTTTGCCATTATGTATATATTTGGACATTCCTATTTTGTAAGTTCCGCAACTAAATCCTCTCATACTAGTTTGGCAATAATTTCCCTGGGGTGATTGATGTGACAATGATTTGCTTTGTACAGTTTCCTTCAATTTGTTTGTTGGCCTGTCTGAAAAATTTGATGATTCATTCACTAATTCAGATGCTTTGACACAATGTTTATATTTGACCATTTCTAGTTTGAAAACGTCCAAACTGAATCCTGAAATATTGTTTGGGAAATGATTTTCCCAGGGCAATAGATGTTCCAATACTTCATTTTCAACTCCAGATTCTTTCAAACTTGTTTTTGGCCTGTCTTCCCAATGATCTCCAAAATGAGCAAAATTTAGGAACTTTTCATCTTCTCCAACAATTTCTTCCCATTTCTTCTCATTCTTCATCCTATAGTGAAGGATAAGGAATTGAACAACAGCTTCATTGATTATTAGTTGACGCTGTGATACTTGAATGTGTATTCCTGAAAAATTGATCTGGAAAACATTTTGGTCCAATGTGACTTCATTCAGGCAAATGGCTTCAAATAGTTTCTTATGGAGTGATTCGAATTGATTCCCAAACTTTCCAAGAGTATATTCCTTGAAGTTCAGCATCAAGCGTAAAAATGAATGCAACATCTTTTTCTGATGTTCTAGAAAGGAATCTGGGGACTGATCGGCACCCAGAGTCTCCAAAACTCTATGGTTTACAGCCCACAAGGTATAAGTGAATGATCCCATTCTCTCCATCATTTTGGGATTCTTCATGATTAAAACTTTTCTTGCTACTTTTTTCATTTTTTTCTCACCTGGTATCAAGCAGAAGGCCAACTTTGGTATCAGAGGCGCGACATATTCCTTCAACTCTTTATATATATACCCCTTGAACTTTTCTTGAATTATTGAAATCCATGCCCAGAACTCTGGTTCAATATTATTTAACTCAAAATTTTGCTCCTTTGATTTCCCCTTGGTTGGTTCAAGAGAGGTGATAGGGCTTAATTTATCTCTTCCTCCCTCGAATCGTTCCTTGGTGGGAAAATACACTGGCTGATCACCATTCATCACATCCGCGATGTTTCGAGTCTGGTTCGGCACCCCAATTCCATTGTATAACTCATCTGATGGATTGTTTGAGGAATCAACATTTTTTCTGTGGTATCGCAATTCGTCTTCTATTTTTTTGAGTTCAGCTCTGGTTCTTGCTTCAGAACTGGAAGGGTCCTCGGTTTTTATTCGCCTGACCTGACCAAAAGCATGGTTCGCTGTCAAACGAACTTCTTCACTCGGTTGATTCAATGTACCTATATTGATGAAGCCACGGAAACTATCAGCAAGTGAATGCCTCGCACGTCTTCTTCTATTCAATTATTTGAATCCACCACTGCAAATCAAGAGGAGTGATGCTCATTCTTCAAGTGGACTCACTGTCGACTTTCGGGGTTTGAAATGATGAACCGGGTAAGCCAAGAGACCCGGCCGCCGTGATACCCAAGCCCATCTCACTTGGAGAAAGCTGATGAACTTCATTTTCTCTGAAAGCTGCATGACCTAGTGCGGTAATAGGTAGGAAGCTATCCGCATCTTGTTTACCTGTAGGAGGAGGAGACGTATGGATAAGAGTCAGAATTTTAAGTATCCCTCAAAAAAGCAGCATTACAAGTCATCGCTTTAGCCACACTTACTATTAGGGTTATTCTCTTTGATAGGCTGATGATGTTGGCTGTGTCCTGGGGCGTCGTAGCCCGGTCGGTCAAGTGATAAGTTAGCTTTTTTGTTTTTACTGTCTCCACCCAAGACGACAGTTCCCGAAAGGTCTGATGAGTCATCACAATCTCGCGTCAGATGATTTTAGAATCATACTCGAGTTGCCTGGGAAGGGTGGAAGATAAGCTAGGGTACAATTACCATGAGGTTTAAAGTTATGAAACGCTGAACCCGGTCCATTCTGGATTTCTGCATTGTTGATGTTGAATGGATGATGATTTTGGACCCAATCAAAATTCAAATTTAATTTTGTCGCTTTTGGCCGACAGACCTCATGTCCCCCTTGAAAGTTTTTGCCTAATGGCGAATTTGATGACAAGACCCTCCCATCATCAAAACCCACATCCGAAACCATAGGGTCAACTTCTGAAGAATACATAATGACGCGAGCGGATTGGTCAGTTTTTTTCTTTCCGAGTGTTGCCTTGAAAATCTTCAGAGAATATGGGAGAACATTCAAAAGGGTCATTTTACCATTTGCTTTCCCAATTGGCAAAGTTGAACCCACTGGTCCCAGCCATCCAACTGAAGGTTCTTGCCAAGAAGAGGGTTCCATCTTCGTGTGGGGATCAAAGTGTATTCTTTTGAAAGCTTGCTGATGGCATTCGCCTTTTCCCTGGCCATTGTGGCTGGGTTGAACAAGGGACAATTTGGTGCTGATTGAACCACCATCGCTGGATCCAATTTGATGAGGGTCCCCTGCGTATGTGATCGAGAAAGAGAAGCCCTTATTAGTTGTTGGATTATGTTGACACGTTCTCTTGCCTGGAATGGATGATACTGACAGGAAGGGTCTTTCTCTAGCTCTGATATATCAGTTCTGTGAGAAGGTGCGTTGAGTTCACTTGCTGATGAAGATGAGGACATAGAATGGAAATTCCTTTTTGCTCCCTGGGAGAACCAGTTCTGCCTTGGCTCTCCCAAAGATGTGTCAGAATAGGAAACAATATATGAAGGAAAATTGGCAGAGAGGAAGCCAACTTGAGCTGGCCAGATAGTCAGTACTGATTTCAAGAGGCCGTGCATGTTCAAGTGTTTGATTTTCAATCAAGAGAAGGGTTTGATGCTACAATTGCTACATGGTAAAATCCTGACAACACCTGGTTTGATGTGACCTCTAGCTTACCTGTGATGAAACTGGGCAACTCCCCTTTTTGGTAGATTTTATAACCAATTTGCAAACATGTCACATACCAATATTTAAACATGTCACAGTATGCATGAGTAAATACACAGAACCAAACCCTTTCACTCCAGTATTCAGTATATACTGACTTATGGATAGCTCCAATAAATTGATATTCATGATCAGGGCTCTTTGCATGTTAAGACACTGACTTGCGGAGAAGTCCTCAAGATTCTCCATCATCTATCTTAACAAAGCCACTCCAATTGAGGGTCTGGGGGACCCAGCGCAAAGAACTGTCTGTAGGAGAGGCTCATTATATTTGCTCAAATTTGGCAAAGTCAGAAGGAATTTCTAGGCTAAAAGCATAAGCCCTTTTGAAAAATAACTACATACCCACAAAGAAATACTCAATAGACAGTCTTACAGTAACTCTTGTTGCACAAATTTGTATGCCCATGGATATCTCTTACCTTGAGAACCATGGCTTTGAAACTATCTGATTGGGTTCATCCAACACTGAAAAAGAGGCAAGACACATATTTGGTATGTGTGTGTATTGTCTCTTTTCTGAGACTGATACCTGGTATCAGTATTTCCTTTGTTGGTGAGAAAATCCACCATCTTGTATTTGTCTTTGCTCATCAAAAAAAATTGTCTTTGTTTTTTTGTTGATACAGCCAAATAACTTGTGTATTGAAGACATTTTTGGTGGGATCATTCCTCTGAGACAATGCACAATACTTGTCTCACTTTCCAAAGACAATGTGCATGTATAATTATTGTCTCAGGAAAGTGAGACAGACAAGGATTGGTATTTTTGGGTATTCAAATTCTGAAACAATACAAATAAATGCCAGATAGTGTTTTGTCTTGCCTCTGTTTTAGTGTTGGTTCATCAACAAATATTTGAAGCTATGTATTGAGTTTGGATTATAAACTTCAATTTGCTTACTATTTGCATGGTTTTCTGACCATCTCCTTAGACCTTCACCCAAAGTCAGTCTAAGAATACCAGATAGTTGTTGAGATTCTAGCTTTCTAACTCTATGCTCAAAAATTCTCATACTTGTTTTCTATGCCTTTCTTAATTCTACTGTCTTATTTTCAATCCCTCCCCTTTGGAGATGTGATCAGGCACCCAGAAGCGGGTGCCTGTTTTCCACAGCAGGTTATACCCAGAAAAAGGTGCTGGGCGCGGGTGCTGGTCTTGACCTTTGAGGTGAAAAAACAGGCTGGTACCCGCCTTACACCCCCCCCCCCCTGATAACTGTTCACCTGAGAATTTTCATCAAAATTGACCGGCTTGAGGAGAAATAATAAATAGATTACATGCATGAAGCTGATGTATTTTAAAGATTAGAGAAAATAATACAAGTGCTTGATCATTGGTCCGCAAACATACACATATTCATACAGCTTTTGCGGAAACAAATACTTGGAATCTGTTGTGGGGCAATTGACACAGTTCATCAATGTATATGTTGGATTTGAACAGATAAAAAAGGAGAAAGAGATCAGTCATGAAGGGAATGGAATGGAAAAAAATGAATGTGAAAACAAGAAATAAGAGTAGAAGGAAGAAAGAAGGTATGTGGAAAGGAAGAGGAAACAAGTTTTTCTTTATGTGGGTTATTTGTTTTGTGATGGTGATGACAATGATTCAGAAGAATGAGTGAACAAACCAAGGAAGGAAGGAAAAGTGAAAGAGAGGGAGATAGAAAACAAAGAAAGGAAGGCAGAGAGAAAGACTGAATCCAGATGGATCTTTAAGAAGAAAAAGAATGAGAGTTAGAAGAATTGGAAGAAGCCAAAGAAGAGGAGGAGGAGCAGCGGTGGGCTGCTACACTACCCTTTTGGCCCAAAAAGTGTAGCATAGCAGCACTTTTTTTGCGCCAAAAATTTGTAGTGTTAACTTTTTTAGCGGCTTTTTGCTATGCTATGCTGCGCTACAGGCCGCTAACAGCGCTACAGGACCAAAAGGCCACCAACCAGTGTGTTAGCGTAGTGGGCCATTCTTTGGGGCCTATGCATGTAGTGTTAGTGCAGATGTGGCAGAATTTGGCTACGCTCTGCTAAAGTTTAGCGGGATTCCGCTACACTATGGTTAGTGTAGCTGGCCCACCGTTGGGAGGAGGCAGAGGATAGAGAAGATGAGGTGCAGTAGAATAGTTTTTTTCCATTTATTTCTATGTTACTCATATATCTATTAAATGTCAGTCACATATCTAGTCATGCAGCAATACAAGGGCTAGCTTTCTGGGCTTATTTGCCAGAAAACAATCCTCAACACCCGCAGGTAGCCAGGTACCTGCCCTGGTGGGTGCGGGTGCAGATTTGGGTGTCCGCAATATTGGATTTTTGAGGCGGGTACCTGGGTATGAATTGATATATCTATTCCCCTTAGAATTTCCTTAGTAGCCCAAAGAAAATTTCAGGTAACTGGCAGCAGTGGAAATTCAGGATACTCTGGTATCAAATTTGTTGCAACTGCATGGCGTCCCAGAATAATCTTTTCTGAACAGTCACTGTGCATTGAATTTTGACTCATGCAAGTATACACTGCAAGCAGTTTCCCAAGTTTTTTTTAGTGTAGAAAGGTATTATTTGTAATTTCACACACATGTAGTTGAATAAAATTGTGAAGTAGAAATATCACAATCATCTTAGTCTCAAATGAATAGTCTAACTATTGATGGGTGGATGCATTTCTAGATGTTAGAGCTCCCGCACAATATTGTGAATGTTTTATTTTGCCAATTTTATTGGTTTTGGATGATGTGAATTTTCATAATCCTTTGATTTTGTACAGTAACTTGTTTTTATTTCTCATTTTTTCACTCAAGTAGTGTACCAGGACCCCAGAAAGACCTAGGATAGGAGGGTGTTGAAAAGGTCCAAATTTGGCAAAATTGTTACCCGGGTACCCGCTGGGAGTCACTTTTTTTGGAACATCCATACCTTTTCAAGAGTATGCTCAGGCTCAAGTTCCCTAAAGAAAGGGGGGCCCTGGTAAAATTTCTGATCTGGGGCCAAATACCAAGATTTTATTGGTTTAAACTAGGTTCACATACCTAAAATGGACTCTTTCATGAGTACCATTTTGACAATAATCACAAATTAATACCCATTTCAAGAGTATGATTTTGGCTTTTTTGCCATTTGCATACCTTTTTCAAACCTTCCCCCCCCATTAGGGGGATTTCTGGGGTCCTAAGGTACCTCCAAGAATTTGTATCTGTTTGAAATAATTTTTTGTTGGTATTCACAAATACACTCAATGCAAAATTTGAGAAGATTGAACTGTACCAGAGTGATTGCAAAGGTATTTGAACCCTAGAAAGCTAGATTCAAGCCCTTGGGGCTCATAATGGAAGTGTCAGCTCAGAAAATTTGACCAAAAAAAGACATTCCTGTCTCCACAATAATGTGGCCTAATCACCAGCACATTACTGTGTACTGTAATTGAAAAATTATCAATGTTTTCAAAATGGATAACACAGCCCATCCCTGTTATTGGTAAATGGGAAGTAACAGAACTGTAAATTTTTCAATTTACTTTGCAGGCACAGTAATCAAAATGGATACTGTGTCTTCCCACTGCTCAATGTTGAAACAGAGACAATACATTCATCTGGTATTGTCTTGTATTGTCTTTATTTTGAGCCTGATACCTGGTATCAGTATTTCCTTGGTTGGTGGGAAAATTTACCATCTCAGATTTGGATTTACGATTTCAAATTTTTTCTTTTCTTTTTTCTTCAATATGGCCAAATATCATGTGCATCAAAGACATTTTTGGTGGGATCATCCCTCAAAGACAATACAGAATATGTGTGTCACTTTCCAAAGAAAATACGTGTGTATTGTCTCAGGAAAGTGAGACAAAAGATATCTGGTATTTTTGAGTATTCAAATTCTGAGACACTACAAATAAACACCTGATACTGTCTTGTCTTGTCTAGTCTCTGCTTCAGTGTTGCACTTCTGGACTCTGACCAATAGCATTGTCTTTTATTCAACTTAATTCTTCAATTCATTGTTCTCTACCACAACTTGACCAAGTCTCTATTTAGACTACTTAGAACAGCATGTACAATTGTTAGTTTTCATTTATCTTACACCTGTGTCACCTTGACTCTCATTAATTTTACAAAAATTCTGTTTAATAATTACACATTCCTTTTTCTTCTCCTACCTGGTCTTAGTTTTCAACAGTTAGGCCCCATTTGGAAGACACCATTATATTGTGTTTTGAAGAAAGCTGGGGACAATTTCCAAATTTGCTGTTCCAAAATCATGGCATTGGCATTCCACAACTTTGAGTTCAGGATTTTTTTATCTCTCCCTTGTGAAATAAAGTCAATGATCACAAACTGCTAGATTAAACCTGCGTGTGCACCGCAACCACATAAGCTAAAGACTTGGAAATTCTCAAATTGTCCAAGTATTCTTTAAAACACAATACATTATAAATTTAAAGTTGAAAAGGATTGCACTGTATCAATTTATGTACATCATGCAATTTAGAACTGAACTTTAAAAACTATAGCATATAACAACATGTTAAAATGGGGCCTTAGTAAGCTTCCAAATACCTGTGCATCCCTGTACGGATTCTAGTGGGTCCTTTTTTAAAATTACACACTTTTCTCAATCTTTGAAAACTTAATAGAAATAAATGAAGAGTGGTAAAAACATTTGGTAGACCAAAATGAAGGTAGCATGCTCAATTTTTCTAAAACAGTAAATCATGCAAAGTTCACTTTTTTTTCTCCTGCTTAGAAATTGAATTTATGTTGAATTCCCCCCAGCAGGAGAGTGAGATTTGCCACCAGCTCCAATGCTACATCACAGCAAGCCTTCCACCAGGGGTACTTGTGTTGAGCTAGCTTAATCATAATGTTTCAAGTTTCTATGAGTCCAGTTTTGGTCACTACAGGAGAATGTCATGATACAGATCAAATTAAAGTAAGCTCTCCATGAAGCTGCAAAATTGTAAAAAATAGCCTAATCAGGAAAGCTTCCATCTTTCAAACAATCTGGAAAGTTCTGATCCTGATATTAGACAGGTGTAAAACAGTATGCCAACCCACGATGCAAATTCAATCCCCTGGGGCCCTGTATTTGGGTGCACCCCAGTTCAAGAGCTTGAAACATCTCTACAGGCCAAAAAATCCTGTTCCTGATACCAGTTTTTTTGTGTAAAACTGGTTATTTGCCCCCCAAAAAAAATGTGGGTTTTGTGTTGGTTCTAGCATTTCAACAAAATTTGTGTAAGATCCATGATACTTTTTTGTTCTGGACCATCTGCACCATCAAAGACACCATGGGGTAAAAAAACACTGGAAATCAGATGGAGTAATTCCTTGTTTCCCGGAAGATTCTTTTGAAGCATCCAACACACGCTTGGTTGCACCAGGCATCACTTGGACAATTCAGAAAGTGTTCAAGTGATGCTGATGAAAAAAAAAAAAAATCGATTGGACACTTCTCAGGGTGTCCAATTGATGGTTTTCACATGGGTCTGGCAGTCAAAAAAAGGTGATTAATTGTCAAAAAAAATAGCTTGGAGAGTGGTCAATGGTTGGAAAACCATCCTGAAATGCAAGAAGGGGCTATGTTTTTATTTTTAGCCCTTATGGAATTCACAGCACAGAAATCTGGTTGTTGCTGCTTATGTAAGCAACATTTAGTAAAATTCTCATGCGTGACTGCACCATTAAGTGCAGTGACTGCATATGAAACCCCATTAAAACCTTCAGATATTGCTCCGGGCGGGACCCACATCCAATTGTCTGTGGTGTGAGGTTCATGGTGTAGTCACTAGTGGTAGGATGTGAATGTAGACCTGTTGGCTGAACTTGCGGGGAACAGGAGGCAGGTCATGGATTTGATCCTGGCTTCCTGCTATCTTTTATGCCCAGGGTCTTTCAAGCCTGCCATCCAATGGATGGTTTTGCCTTACCATCCGGCTCAGCAAAATGCAAAGCAAATTCAATGGATGCACCTTGCAGGGCCAAAGCCGGATGGTATTTAGTACATCAGTTTGAGTTTCCAAATGCCATTTTCATGACCTGTGGTGTATATGGGTATATGGACATCAGTACACCAAAAATTTGGATGGTACGTCTTATTGATTTCCATCCAAAAATGTCCAAGTGCATACCCCTTGGGACATGAATGGGCTGTTATGTGTGTATTGTTCAGATTGTATAACATTATGAATTATTGAATTTACAATTTAATGCACATATCAGATGTTAATAGGAAGCACCCTATCAACAACGCATGACACTTCTGCCATTTCATAATGAGAATCAGTATCTACATAGGACACAACTTGACATTCCCCAGCAATCATCAATATACTTAGGACCCATTTGGCCGCAAATCATGATTTGTGATTTGGCTAAGGTTTGGTGTGGATTTGGACCGTGCAATATAAAACAATATAAAATTTTTGCACAAACTCCCGTCAAATCTTGACTCAAAATTACAAATTATGGACGGCCAAACGGGGCCTTATTTGATTTTGGGCAGCACCAGATGATACCAAACTTTATGAGTTTTCAGAACTTTATAGTTTTTCAGTGGCTTTTGTGCTACATACTATATTACCAGCCTCCTTCTGCTTGAATTTGACTTTGTGTTCTCTCTATCTTTATGCCCCTTGTATGTTTTCAGAAACCTTGAATTAATTGAGTTTTCTTAAAACTGGATCATCCAATCAACATGTATCCAAGCACAATAATTTGGGTTTTTAGGAATCTGCCAGAAACTTACACTTTCTTTGAAAACATTTATGCTTTAAAAAACATCCAAAATAAACAAATCACAACACAGTCCATGCAAAATTAGTCTTTCAATTAGGGGGTAAGAGATGTGGGAATCACAAAATGTAAGAAGTGGTAGATAATATTTGAAACTCACATGCAAGAATCATTGCTATGTATAAATCCTCTGCAAAAACCTTGGGTAATAAGGTACTTAGTTTAACTTTGTGTTGCCAATATGTATGCAGGATATTTGATCATTGGTTCAGGCTTGAATAGGACGATTCACATTTGAATAAAATCTTGTTGATTTCAGATAAAATTTCTGCTTGCTGGTTTCAAAAAACTTAAAAATTTGGCAGACACATGGGCCAATTTTAAGCCTGCAAACTCAACTTACTCTGCTGGTTTCATGTAAATAAATAATTTGCTGAAATCCTTCAAATGTGAATTGTGTTAATGTAGCCAATAGAGCATGGTTTTGTCAACAAGATGAAATGAATCAAGAATTTTCACAGGAATCTGCTTTATTTTACTCTACTGCCCATCAAAGGGACCATTGGCATAGATGATTGGAAATCAAGCCATCCAATCTAAGGCATAGCAGGAATGACCTGCCAGGGCTAGAGTGTTGAATCCTCATGGGTTGTGTTGAGGACAACAGAAAGAAGAGTTTCAGGTGTTTGTTTGGGATGGCTGCATGCTGCAGGAGTGCAGGATCATGTCTCGTAAATGTGAGACGGGTCTCAAGGGTAACGGGTCTGTACGACCGACTTGGCTGTACTGCATGGAGACTCGGAGCCGCGACGTCGAGTTTGTTGAAACTGGCTGGTGGTCGGTCCAATCCCGATTTGCTTGAACCACATCTTCAGAAGAACACTGAGGCTTACATAATCACAACCAAACTTAAAAAACTTTCACGCTGCAACTCATCACCAGCAACTGCCACCAGCCACTTCGACCAAGCCACTTCAACTACAACCAGAACCAAAGCAAGCACAATAACACATCATGTGTCCCCCAACTACTCAGACCAACGGCGAACAACCTACCACGACCAACGGCCATCCCATAGAAGAAACTCATGTCCCAATCGACTCACAACCAGCCCAAGAGAAAACCAAACAACACAACCCATACGGCCCAAGACTATCTGACTTTTTGAGCAACACTTCCAACTTTTCAATCATCGAATCTACCTTGAGAGAAGGGTCAGTCTACCGTCAATTTCTTGGTAAACAAGACAAGAGCACACAGCCTAATTTTGATTTTGGCTTGTTTGCTTTGAACCGAACAGAGAACAATTTGCCAATGCTTTCTTTGGTGAGCTTATGAATTTATGCCCCTATCTCCCACAAGAAAGAAAATTAATAGTGTGACCTTTTTTGTCTTTCAAAGATACCGAAACCAAGATCAAGATTGCCCAAGCATTGTCGGACTTTGGAGTCGAATATATCGAATTAACCAGTCCCGCCGCTTCGGAACAATCCAGACAAGATTGTGAAAAGATTTGCAAGTTAGGACTCAAGAGTAAAATCCTAACTCACATTCGATGTCACATGGATGATGCCAGAATCGCCGTAGAAACAGGTTGGCCTCAGAATTTCAACACATCTCACAACAAAAAAGATCAATGACTGACAGGTTCCTCTGTTGCTCGAACCTCAAAAAATGAAAGGTGTGGATGGAGTAGACGTAGTCATTGGAACCTCATCCTTTTTACGCAAATATTCCCACGGAAAGGATATGACCTACATCTTGAAGACCGCTGTCGAAGTGATCGAATTCGTCAAATCTAAGGGAATCGAAGTCCGATTTTCATCCGAAGATAGCTTCCGATCGGATTTGGTCGACCTGCTCAGTATCTACCGGGCAGTTGACAAAGTCGGGGTCAATCGAGTCGGAATTGCTGATACCGTAGGCTGCGCCAATCCTCGTCAAGTGTATGACCTTGTCAGAACTTTGAGAGGCGTCGTCGGTTGCGATATTGAATGCCATTTTCACGATGATACCGGTTGCTGTTCAGTTACAATTTCCCTCACTTTGTTGACTCTATCCATACTTTCGATTGTCACTGCTTGCACTGATACCCAAAATCTCCCTTTTTACACACCCCATACAGCCGTTGCAAATGCCTTTTGCGCCCTGGAAGCTGGTGCCACGCACGTTGATACATCAGTCTTGGGAATCGGAGAAAGAAATGGAATCACTCCCCTTGGTGCACTGATTGCCCGGATGTACGTAGTCAACGTAAGTTTTAGTCTCTCGATCTGTTTCTTGCTCCATAAGATCAGCAAGACGCATTTGACCGACAGAAACCTCCCATGCTCTTTGCACCAGCCTGAATACATCAAAAAGAAGTACAACCTCGCAGCCCTGAGAGAGGTTGAAAACCTGGTGGCCCAGGCAGTTGGCATTCAGGTGCCATTTAACAACGTCAGTCTTCCAACAGCTGTATTCTGCCTTGTTGGTGTATCTATTGTCTCGTTCTGATTCCTACCTTGCCTTATCACATTTTAGCACATTACTGGATTCTGCGCTTTTACACACAAAGCGGGTATCCATGCCAAGGCAATCTTAGCCAACCCCAGCACTTACGAAATCTTGAAGCCGGAAGACTTCGGTATGACTCGTTACGTTCCTATTGGACATCGTCTGGTTGGTTGGAACTCGGTTAAGAGTCGTGCCGAGCAACTAGGACTTCAGCTAACTGATGAGCAAGTCAAAGTAAGACCCATCCGATGCATCCAGCCCACTCCTGATCAGCTCAATAACATCTGCTGAACTGACCGTATCTGGCTCTCATAGGATGTTACGAGCAAGTTGAAGGCCCTGGCCGATGTCAAAACACAAACAAGTGAAGATGTGGATGTCTTGCTGCGAGTATACCACTCACACATCACGGCGGGAACTCTTAGCATCGGGCAACACAGCACACTCGATGAGTTGTTGGAAGAACACAAGGGTGCCAAAAACGGCTCTTTAAAGCATGCTCCTCCAGGCGACATTAACGATCAAAACAAGAGAGCTAAGGTCGAAGCTGCCTGAGAGAGCTTGCAGTCTTTCCTCATCTTCCCCTGGCCCCTCTCATGCTCTGCCACGAAACAAAAAAAAATGTCGACTATTCGACCCCCTGCTGCTTGGCTCAGACAATTCTTGACGTCTTCCTTCTCCTTCCCTCTATCCATTGACGAGAACCGCCCGAAGAAGGCTTACGCCAAATGACCCTACTTTTAACGTCCTTTTTCATTGTTTTTTTTCTCAGTTGTTATGTACCCTCCCTCGTCTCTCATGATGCGTCGGAATCTCTTACGGATCTATACAAAAAAAAGACCAAAAAAAAAAACTTCACCCGGTTGTTCGTGCCGCTTTTCTCTCACTTCTTCTTTTTTTTGTACTTCTTGTTCTTCAATCTGAGAAAGAGCGTGTGATCTCGTCAAGGAAATCAACTTCAAGCTCTTCATATACCTTTGCAAAAAAAAGAGTGGCCGAAGTTTGGAAAACCATTGGTGTTGGGATTTGGGGTGCATTCCTGCGGATGAGTTTATGGCCCCTACATACGGTCTGAGGCTAGAAAGAGAATCTGAATGAGCATGTGAGGATCCAATTGCTGGACTGCAGCGATTGTGAAAACATACACACACACACACACACACAGGTCAAGACGACTTTTATAAAACAGGCCAAGCTCATTCTGTTGCGCAACACAAGAGAAGGTATTGAATTTTGCCTGGATGGCATTTGTGACTCCTGTACCGTCCATTTTCGTTGTGGCTAGCATCCATGTCACTGGCAAGCCCAGATATACTCAAGCAGCCTGACCACAGGCTGTTCCATCTTCACTAATGAACGTGGAACTTGTATTTGGAGTTTTGTTGTGTTACAACATGGTCCTTGGATTAACCTGCGCTGAATCATAGCCTTTTGCTCAGGAGTCAGGACCAGGCCAGGTGAGCGCTGCTGGCTTGTGAAAAAGTTGACTTGCAGAAATTCGACATCATCACTTTTTTTTTTCACTTGACAAGCTCCTTGCTGCTTGGACAAGCTCAAGTTGAATTTGTCCAAGTCAGAGGGCCAACCGGACCGACCAGTCTCCCTATCACACGAAGCTCAAATGTTTCTACCAAATGTCTATCAAGCTCCACGGATGGGTGGCTGTGGGATTATTCCAGTGATCAACAAAAGCTATCTAGTGGAGGGACTTGCTTGCTTGTGAACCACCAACGCAGAAGAAGCTCCTTGCTTCCCCAATAAAGCCACTCTCAAGCTCTATGTGCTGGACAACACATCAAACATTCAGCAGGTTAAAAACTGGATGTCCAGAGGTATTCCATTTATTACGCAACGACATCGGATCGCTTTTGGTGCAAGTAAAAGGGCCATTGCAGTATTGCAACCCTTTGACAAGCTTGGGGGAATAGATGAAGAGGTAACTTTTTGGGGGGGGGGGTTGTTTACATGTATAATAGCATCAGAATTTGATTCACCGGATATATTGACCTTCATAGTTTGCCAACATCCGTGCTACCAAGAAAAAAAAAAGAGAGACAGAAAGGATTAGTAGGTTGGGACAAGCTTTTGATAAGCAAGCTGATGGGATGAACAAAAGCTTGACACACCTGATGATTTTGCGTCCATAAATAAGTTGTCAGTTTCTCCAACATCCTGTACGTTGATACCTTCTTGTCCGGAAACGGTACCCAGGATTGCACTGGGTGTCAACAACTGTAGAGCATATCTATTATTATTTTTTTGCGTCAAGGCCACGACGAAAATCAGAAACATGTGGACCAGCAGGCTCGGGAATGAAGATGATGAATGAAATGAAATGAATACCGAAGAGAAGTTTCCATGGCCCGGTCCGCAAGTTTATCCAGAGCGGCTTCATCCACCTTGAGATCTTCGACTTTAGCCCTCAGACTCAATATTGTTTTGCGCTCATCCCGGTTGTAGGGCACAGTCCGAACAATCATGCACCTATCCAGCAGATCAACAGGAATCCCGTGGGGTGCAACGATCCCCTCTGAGCTGGCTGATCCCGAGCCTAGTTCATTTTCTGTCCCCCTGATCGTACACATCCCTCGATTTGTTGCAAGGATCACGTGCGGAGATATGGCCGACTCTAGTGCACGATTCAAGTATGTAAACGATTCAATGTCAAGCATGTGTACCTAAACATATCATCAAAATCTCTCATCAGTTCTCAGTGTTTCGAAAGTGGACTAGAATACCCGGGCAATCGATGATAGAAAGATGCGAGTACCTCGTCGATAAATAATACACCAGGTACGAGTTCGGCAATTCCCTGTGCGATGTACCGATCGACGACTTTGTTGATTTCTTCCCGGAGCTTATCGGTCACTTCAGTCCTTCTGCCTTTCACAATCTGACCCATTACACTCATGATATCTTGTCCACCTTGAGGCCGTGCATTAGCCATGTCGAGATCATGGAGAGTGACATCCTGGACAATTTCTTTCTTCTTGTGAACTTCTCCCTTTGGCAGTGGCACGTATTCTTCCGCTTCCAAATCGAATTCTGTCGCAAAGACATCTGATCTACCCACACGCTGAAGGAAGGCAAACAAGTATTAAGTACGATCTACTCTCCCCCAAGTGAAAGTAGGATTGATCTGGGTTTGATCATTTTACCTTGACAGCTCCAGTGTTGGCCTCGATATAAATCACATCTCCAACGGTGACTCTCTCCTGCTGAATGCTATCGAAGATACTGGGATCAAGCCGAAGTTGCTTGGTACCTTTGGCAGTTTTTAATGAGACCACGACGTGTGAAATGGTTTTTCCGTAGGCTGAAAGTGGATTTTCGGTTTCAGCTGGCGTCAATTCAGTCACTTCTCCCTCGTAAACCTCCTTCGTTTCTTTTACACGTAGCCCTGTTTTATCCGTCATTGGTCATTGTTGGAAAAGGAAGTAAAACAAAAAAAAAAGTAAGAATTTACGATGGAGGATCATTGCTTTCATCTTCAAAAGAGGAGAATATTTGGGTGACATACCGATGGCGCGCCGGAAGTTTTCCATTAAAACCTCAGTCTTTTTAACTTCATTGCTGTAAACTTCGCTTCCAACCATCGGACAGAAAGGGACCTTTGGGCCCAATTCCTGAGCCATGGCCAATGCCAATGCTGTCTTTCCGGATCCGGGTCCACCGGCCAAGAGTAAAGCCCGTCCAGAAAACCTTCTCGTACGTATAAGATCTAGCACAAGCCCACAAGCCTAAGACAAAAACAAAAAGAAAATTGAATTAGATTCCGTAGATCCCATATATGCTGTGATAAAATTCAATGCCTGACCTCTCTGGCGCTCCTCTGACCAATAAACCCCTGTCCGTCCTCCTTTCCGAGGCCATCTTCGTCGAGGCCGAGCCCATGAATGTGAGAGTGAACGGCGATCCGGGCAGCTCGTGAGCCAGTACTGGTAGCCTTGAGGGCGTTCGATCGCATGGTGAGCGTGGGATGGAAGTGAAGTCGGTATCAGGAGAGTGAGTTTGTCTGGTATATCGATGGCTGGTTATAATCTGTTCTCGGCTTGTTGATCAACTCGGCATCTTTTTTGGTCGCCGGCGAATTCCTCGCGCGGCGCGAACCTCTGAAGCACATGTCACGCGACCCTAGAGTCACCTTTCACATAGGGTTCGCGCGCCCAGGGATGGACATGTGGTTCACCCTTCATTTCTCCTTTGAAGCATTTGATTTCGTATTTTTCTTTTTGATGGCCATATCAACCTTACTCTCCCTCAAAGATTAATGTTGATTGATAACAATCAGCACTAACCCATTTTATGAATTGCAAACCAGCTTCAAGCTATGATCATTAGTGGTCTGCAGGTTAGTACTTCTAGCACCAGCCAGACACACTGTCGGATGTACCCAGCCCAGCATTTGATCAGAAGAATACCCCCACGAGGGTCAAGATACTCTATAATTAATAGCCCGGTTCACATTTCACACTTTCCACTGCTAACTTGTAATAAACTTTCTGCTTGCTGATTTCAAAACTTTGTCCAAACTTGCACTGGCAGCAGGCTAATTTTAAGCGTGAGATCTCAGTTCCCTTTGCTAACTTCATATAAAAACTTTGCTAAAAAATTTGAAATGTGAACCGTCCTTTCTTGGGGTGCTGAGTTGAGATCTCTGGTGGTAGTGCCATTTGAACTTGAGGAGTCGGTCGGAGTTTCTCTTCGGATCATAGAGCATTTCCTCCTATCTTTCTCCCCTCAATACATAGTTAAAATCAGTAGTGTCAAGGGGAGTTAAAGAATGCTGAGATGGGTGCTTGATCAAATGTTACTCGTTGAGGTTTAGTCCTGGTAGTTTTTTTTTTTTTTGTTAGTTTGCTTGAGTTTACATAATCTTTAGGCGACTTACCTCGTGTGCTGGCAAGCTCGATTGAACTCCTTCATGTGAAGCTTGCCAAGCTCTTCTCCGGCTTGAATCTCGCGTCCCAGGGTTCGTCAGGCTCCACCATGAGGGCGCTGAGAATGGAGCAGCATGTACCATTCCAAGCCTTTTAAAATCTCTCTTCTAAGCTAAAGCTGACGACGTGGTCACCCTTGCGGTAATAAATATAACCCTCAGAGAACTTAAGGGACCAGCAGCCTGAGCCAGTCATTTGCAGTCTCCGCCGGATTATGTATTGGCATCCTCCCTCATCCCAGTCTTTCTCGCCAATTTTTTCAATCCAATAAACAAATCATCCACACTCCAAAATTACATCCCGGTGCCACAGCAAACCTTAATCGGTAAGAATTTATGTCTCCTTCCAATCCGCATGTTGTATGTACTCCTCTCACTCCACCACCCTCATCATCAGATGTGTTATATGCGCGTCATAAATTCTGCGCCATCATATTCATATCCAAACCGGCCCGTAGAAAGAAAGCATGAGTGAACCTTAATAGTAGCACTCGATCAGACCGCGGATGTCTTGGCAAGACGTATTACATACAATTTAAATGTATTGATCTTGCAAGAGCGTAGATGGTGATCGGGCTTCAGTTACATATCGGCAACTTGATTGTGATGGTTCGTTCAACTTACCTCTAACATAGCCCTGACCAAAACCATGAAAGTCTTGTAGTCGACTGTTGCCGAAGTGCTGGCCGAGGCCCTCCCCCCCTATATTTACAGGCCCCTATAAATATATTATATTATATTGTATTCTGTTTGGAAGACGAGTGTTTCAGCAAGCTCGCTGCCTCCACCGATCATCAGTCCCCAATTCTTCCCCGCCCAACGCACGCTGATCGACATGTATCAAGGTGCTTTTTTTCGTTACCTTTCTTATCTTTTCCATCCGTTTCCTTTCATTTCCTTTCCTTTCCTTTCTTTCTTTGTTGGCTTCTCACCTCGTTCTCCAACAAACGAACGAACGAACGAACCATCGGATCACTGCTGACCGAGGACCCCCCTCCCCTGCTGGCTGGATAGCTAGACTCAGACCCGTTCGGTTGTGTGTTGATTACACCAAACACAACAGTCGAGACCACAATTCAATTCTTCCTCCCTCCAGGGAATATCTCAGTCTGTAGATACAAGAGATCTTCTCGAGTGGAGGCTGGCTTGATTGTTTTGCTATTTTAACAATCCATTTTACATATCCAACAATATTGAACAGACGGCCTCAAGTGCAAGTCATCTTAATATCATAGCAGAACTCATGGTTGATTGTAGTTATCTTCAACCATATTCGATTGACTGTTGATTTCCTTGAACCAGCTGGCAGGCTTCCTCTGATTCTGGAATCTGAACCACTCTCGGCTTGACTCTGACTCTGGGCCTCTGGCTCTGTCAATCGAGTGTGTTTCGTGCTTTGATTCTTCTCGAATATTGTTCAAATTTCTCGTTAAAAACTCCTTGGAAGCTCAGGAAGAAGGTAAAGTAAACAAGTCAGTCAGTAAGTATGTATGTATGCAGTTTAGAACTTTACTAGCACTTCCTCCCTCTTCCTCCTGAACATCAATCCGCGTACAGAGCCTTCAACTACGACAAAGCCCGAGTTTTGTACATATTTAAGTTGTAGGAAGTTCGGTTGATCCCTTTATAACGAATATTATAAAGTGTGTACAACCCAAGTCATCCAGCCGGCGTACACTGTTTGTTTTGATCTTTGTATTGCGTTATAATATAACCAGCTGGCATCTGTACTACCATCTCTGTCGGGTATCATCTCATAAGCTTCTTTAGGGGGTCTTTCTTGATCTCAAAGTGCCAAAACCACAACAAACACATCCAGCTGCAATCTCCTTCCTGCCGGCAATCCGTCCCTTCTCGTACTAGGACCCTCTGATTCTACTGTCTCTCCTCAGACGGTGTCACCTGTTCCCAAAGCCAGTAGTAACACCTCAGCATCTTGGGGGCTGCTTCCACTGTGTCTTTCTTAAATAGCATCTTCTTCTAATTGGTTCCCAGTCCTTCCCCCTCCTCTTCTCAACACCCACGCCCAACTTGCAAAGATCGTGTTGTACTAGTGCCCTCTTCTGACCTGGTTCATGTTCTTCTTCTTCCTTCCTGCCTCTTCTCAACTCAGGATTTAACTTCGGTGAACCAGACCTCACAGGCTGGCCAGCCCTCCACCCTCAAGATCCCTCCAATCAGATATCTCTTGCCTATAACCCATCCACCTCCACCCGCACTGCCACCCCAGCCCAGCTCGCCTCTGGGATTCCCGCCATGTCCAACCCCAACCCCAGCTCAGCCACTCCAAACCCCAACTCCAACTCAGCCCCTCACAGCTCACAGCCTGCCGGTAGCTCCTCCCAGCCTACCGCCATGCCATCCCAGCCATTCTCATTCTCGCCTCCCTATAACACCATCTACCCATTCAACTCCTCATTCCCCAGCCAACCTCACCTGGATCAGTCCGCCAATTTTATCCTAGACCCCGTCAGTTATCATCCTCAGCAACCCCCAAAGCTGATGCCTTCAACCAATCAACTCCAGCTCTCATCCTCCCAAAAAAGGCCTCTGGTCCCCGCCCCGCCTCACACCTCCTCGTCTACCAACCCGCCCATATTTACCGCCCGGCGTCCAGCGCGTCCAATCACCAAGTGCGATCGTTGTCGGAGTCGCAAATCTAAGTGTGATTCCGGCCAGCCCTGCTCATCATGCCAGAGATCAAGAGCCGAGTGTAAATACACCGATGGCCGCCCAACGTGAGTGATGAGGACATGATATGAAAGAGAAAAGAAAAGAAACAAATAGCAAGGGAAAATTAGGATAGAACCAACCAGACTGATCGGTTCCCATCTTCGTTTCATTCACAGCAAGGGCGTTCCGGAGGGGAGCTTGGCCAGTGCCTCTTACTCGCAAAATCAACTGATAAGCAGCGCCAGTTCGTTGAAGAGAGACCGTCAGAATTTGATGGCCAAGATGGACACCCTCCAGAGGCTTCTCAACGATGTCACCGCTCGCCAGGCCGTCCAAGCTTATGAGCTCAACTTCAGCCTACAAAATCGTATCCCTTCCTGTGACACTGGCTTCGGTATCGACCTCGAAGCTGATAACCTCATCACCCATTTCTCCAAGTTGTGGCTCAGAAAAGAGCCCGATCAAAGTTTTTTCAAGGCCACCCATCCTGCTTTGGTTCAAGTAAGTGTAGTCCCACATAAACAAACCATCCAAAACGCTTGAACTTTACTAAACCTTCCCCCAAAAAAATGGCATACATTTAGCTTCGGCAACACCAAATCCCCCGTTGGCAACAGTCATCACGCTGGACGAATTGGTCGGATTACCAAGCAGAAAGTAGATACCAACAATTGACAAAGTTTGATCCATCGATGCTACCGGACCAGAACGAATGCCGGGATCTTTTCCGTCGATTTCTGCTGTCGTGCGATTGGTACTTCGAAGTATTGACAGAGGCGGAGATGAATGTGGCGGAGGCGGAGGTGCACCACTATCGATCCTTAGGCATCACTCCGACCTCTCCCGAACAATGGACCCGAGTCGGACTGGCTCTAGCGGTCTGTCGACTCACCCTGGCTTGTTTGGATTGGGCCGGGACGAACGAAAGTGAACAGCTCTCTCGGAAACGATGCGAACGGATCTTGAAGTGGTGTGATTTATCCGTCCTGGCTCTCCAGAAAGCCGACATTGACCAAAACCCGACCGTCGAGGTCATGCGGGTTTTGATCATTTTGACCTCAACAATGTCAGTCCATCTGCAATCTCTACCTATTCGCATGTTGGGTAACCAGGTCGCTGACATACTTTTTTTTATATATAGATTCTTTGAGACTGATTACGGTTTGATGGGAAGCTCGCCTCAAATGCTCAAGCTCCACTCAGTAGCAGTTGATGTTTCTGAACGACTAAACTTGGTTAGTACGGCAGCGTCGTTTCATGCCACTGTCTCTATTCTCATCTTCAGTACAATCTGAATCAGCCTGACTAGTTATTAACCTTTATCTCTTAGCATCGCGACCCTCCGAGCTATTTGTCCTCGAAGGAAAAAGATGATCGTCGTCGGATGTGGTGGGCTCTGGTGACCATTGATTCGTAGGTCATGATTTTTTCAAGAAAAAGAAAAATCTTCTCGATCTATCCTCATGCTCAACTTGCCTTGCGCCCATAGACATTTTTACTCCACCGGGGCAACATCCCATAGCGTCCTGAGCCTTCAAACTTCAGATACCAAGCTCCCAGTGTCTCGGCAGATTTATGCCTCGAATGGGTTTACAGACGACCACATGCCCTTTTTGGACCTTCGCTCGGCTCGTAGTCGATTCGAGCTCGGGAAGTTCAATAACCGGTGCTGCCAGCTTCTGGCACAGCGAAAACCGCTGGCAACCCTATCAGACATCTGGAAACTCGATCAGGATTTAATTGCCCTCGAGGCAAGCGTTCCCCCTGAACAGCGTTTGGCCAGTGATCTCGACCTCTCCAATCTGTTTCAAAGGCCGCTGCGTCCACCAGGCGCAATAGACGAGGCCCTAAGGAATGGTCAACAAGTCTTCTACATCGGGTTTTGGCATATCAGTAAGTCGCATTCTTCCTTGAAAAAAAAAACTCATTGAACTATGTTCCAACCCAAGTGTGTTGTCTCAAGAGCTTGTGTTCTGACCAAATCAATTTGTTCATTGATCTGGGTATCTAGGATCTAAAATCCATCGAGGATTGCTTTATACAAAACAAACTTCCTCCGACTCAATCAAGTCCTCAATTAACGTTGATGCTCACCGCGAAATAGTCAGGAGGAGTAGCTGTGAGTAATGAATCCTTCTTCATGACAAATTTACCATACATGTGAATCTGACAGATGGAGAAAATCTCTGCGGTAGATTGTCTGCTCCATCTTTACCGCCACACCAAGCTCCCCACTGCGTTTATCTCGGCAATAGCCAGGTAAGAGACACACGAAAAAAAGTTCACGTTTGTTGCAGAAGGTCATGATTGCTCAACCCTGTGGCTTGGTTCATCTAGTGCGGCTCTGACACTGTCATTGGAACTGATCGACCAACCCTCACAACCAAACAACTGCGAGATACGGACGATCATCATCGAGTGCTTTTCGCGCTTGCAGACCAACTCATCGCCGATCATCGGGAGGGCGTGCCAGGTGTTGGAGTACTTCCTCGACCCAACACAGCCTCGTGTGGGCGTCCCGCGAAGCTATGAAGGCGGCTTGAGCAAGTGGCATGAGCTCGACACGCCGGGTGCCTTCCGCTGGCAGACCGAGGCCAGCCGCGAGAACCGGTTCGACTGGTTCGCCCCTTCGGCGGCCGAACAGCGGGCAGCAGACAGTGCACTCGGCCTGAGCACCAATCCGGCCTTCCAAGTCGACGCCCAGGAAATCTGCTACCCGCTCAAGCCGAATCCACAACAGGCTTGCGAAGTCCAAGGTACACCCATGCTGGACCTCTGTTACCCTCTCAAACCAAGTCCAGAACAGGCTTCTGAAGCCCACACTAGCCCGGTGCTCGACCTATGTTACCCGCTCAAACCCAGTCCGGAGCAGACTTCCGAGATGCATGGGATCGATCTTTGCTACCCTCTCAACACGAGCATCCAACAGGGGACGGATGCTCAGGGTAACCCGATCCTTAACTGGGCCTGTCCACCTTTTCCTTAGTCGACCATATATAAATCCATGTTTCTATCGCCCTTTTCATGTCTTCCTCGATCACCACCATCGTCAGCTTGTACATTATCCACTACGGATCGAAAAAAAAAAAATCAATGAATGAAAGTACTGTTTTTGTATGTGTCCTTGATCTTGGTCTTCATTGATCTTGGCAAACTTGTTTTTTTTCTTTTCAGTCTTTATAAACATGAAGAGGAGACGTGATCTCATCAAGAACCGATTTCAATTTACATTTTTACATTATTTCTTCTTTTTTTTTAATATTTATCTACTTAACTTCATTCTTATTTACATATTTTTGTTTTGTTTTGTTCTGTAATCTTCTTCATTTGATCATTAGGCATCTGCGCAGGATTTACTTCCACACACACACACACACAAAAAAAAAGAAAAAATGCTCCACCGAAATAAGAATCTACAACACCCAATAACAGTTGATCAGTTGAAGACTTGGGTTGGGAAATCTCTTGATTTTTTCTATCATGATTAGCACTCTTGAAGAATCACATCAAGCAGAATAGCAGAAAAATTATAATAAGATTAAAAATGTACTACAATCCAGATCAACAACCGCCGTTTTTCTGGAGAGAAGAAAGAAAAAGAATAAAAAGAAAACTGATGAATCTGTCGATCCCTTTTTATTTGTTTATTTATTTTGTTGAGAGTCAGATCTTCGAATGTCTACTAGTTTTTTCGGTTAATTATTCAATCCAGAGATGAAAAATGAAACAAACATAAACATACATAACCATGCACTATGTAGGTCGTGTGGGCCGCCGTCCTATTTCAGAGAGAGCCTGCTTCCAAGATTTCCTTCAATTTTTTTTTATCAGAGTCGATCGAGGGGGTCTTTATTGTAGGTCCCTTCACTTGGATAAGTCTAGGAGCCATGTATGATCATGAATGCAGGCTTACAAAGTTCTTCATACCTATCCCAGTTCACGTCATAAGAGTCTCCAGAAAACTCATAAACTTGCATCATTTCGATCACGACGGACTCCCAAAAGTTGGGCGATGTCAAGAGGACTGGCTCTTGACTGTCGAGAGCCAGACCTGGGAGTTGGTCTCCTGTTTCCTACGTGAGGAATGGGAGTCGGCACGTTATGGACCCAACGGCCCTCTCGCCCAACAGGTTCTGGACCTAAATATGTACTCGGCGGGAGGAAAGCCCGGCCATGCGCAGGCACTTGGTGGACCTGCATCCACTCTACTGCACGTCTCGATGGCCAGACGTGATTCATGAAGTCCGGCTGGAGTGGATCCAATGCCTGGAACAGAATACAAGAAACTCGTTTGAAGAAATCCAAAATTTAGATTCGTCCTGGCCAAAGGAGGAGTTTCTCGTCATGTTTCATACTGCAGTGTATCCCGGTGTCCCACTCATTATTGTAGACTTATGGTGAGTGTGGAAGAGGGCGGAAGGGTTGTGCAGGAAATCTCCAGCAGTCGAGCTCTTGGGATGTTATACGTTGGAGGCAATATACCATATCCTTTCAAACCGTCTTCGCCATCTTCATCGAATCGCTGCCCCTGGTCAAGTGAACCTATCATATTGCTCGAAAGACCTAAAAATGCAGACGGTGCTTCCTTATTCGTTTCTCTTGGCGCGTTACCTGCAAGCGGTATCATGTCACGAACTTACCGTAGTCAACGGTGAACTCGGCCAGGGGCTAACAAGGAATTTTAAAGAAGAAAGCCAAACCGGCGGCAACCCGGCTTTCCTTGACTTCGACTTGAATGAGCTTCCGAGCGCAGAGAGTCCGGAGTTGCAGTCTCCCACCGAGTCTTCAAGCCTGCTTCCTGTCTTCTCTGGGCAACTCCGCGGGACTCTGGACCGTCACCTACCTGCCGTATACTCGGATTTGGAAGAGGAAAGTCGCGCTTCAAAGCGTCCAAGATTGACAAACATCAAGCCAGACCACGGCCGGTGGGGATGCGACAAGCCCGCTGGCTAATAGTGAACTTTCACATCACCCAAGCCCCAGCTTGGCCTTGCAAAAGTTGAAAAGAAAAGCTCAGCCCAGCCGTGCTGACCTCATCGCTTACGATCCTCAAGAACCACCGGCAGGTCCATCAGTATAAGCTTAGAGGTGCACTGAACGGTTTGCACGAGGTGGCTGATCTTAACAGACTCGATGTGTACAGGTTTCTTCCTCGCAAAGCAGCAACATCAAATGCATTTTTTCATTTAGATTCTTCCCTACAACCACCTCTCCGGAAGGTGACAACTGACACCGCGTATCACTCAAGCAGGAGTTCATCAATGTTGGCTCATCCGCGAGGGTATGGTCAGCCCAGATTGACTGCTCCGCGTACTCTGTATAGGACGCCGGACAGTGTAGAACCTAAAAAATGTCCAGGTTTGTTCCAGGACCAACGGCCAAAAATGGTCTTTCTCAATCAGTTCATGCTCCAATGCAGCCTCTCCTGAAGGCAGAAATCCCAAGAAAAACTGGAGCTGGTAGCGAAGAGAATGACAGGTCACGTCTGAGTGAAAGCAGGCAGGTCTTACGTTACTACCCTTCCCAAATCCTCAGCTGGAGTGCTCCGGTAGTCAACTACAAAGCCGCTTGTGCAACGGCATTCATGGTGAAGGAATTTCAGCTTGCGTTGTTGGACATTCCATCAGGAGTGGAGTTGAACAAGATGCAGGATTCAGACCAGATCTTTGTTCGGTTTGTTTACAAGCTGATGATCAAACCATTCCCGACTCAGAAATGGTCCCAAATGCTGCAAGTTTGGCGGAGCTTGTGGTATTTCTCAGATTCTAGCCTGGCCAAATCACATCGATCGAGACAAACAGCCCAGCATATATTGATGATCAAGAGGTTCCTTTGGATCTCGGATTTCATTTCCGAAGTCACGATCCCTCAATTTTTTGAACACCCCGAGGTGGGTTCGGACAGGCCCAGCGGGTCAATAAAATACGATTATTCTCTGATGGCAACCGCAGAAGTAAATATCATGAGACTGCTATTGAGTGGAAGTGATGGATCGAAGATCTTCAAGAGAACCCACAACACATCACTGCTTCGGATCAGTGATCCTTTGAACAGAGGATGCGCAGACGGAAATGAGGATCTTGATCATCAGTCGGTCCTCGAGTTGCTCCATGCCAAAGCCAAGTTGATTGTTCCAGAGACATCAGGATTGGAACTTCAGGCCAAAAAGCTGGAAGAATCAAGCTCGACTCATGATCCATTCTTGAAGAAGCTGATGGATCAGTATGGAGATGAATTTGTTGGACATGATTGGAGCTCCATTAACCTCAGTGGCATCCCTTCCTCTGTTGAAAACAGAATCGATTCTATCTTCACGACACTGAAGTTTGATCAGAAACAATCGACGCCTGCTTCGGATCGATTGCCGTACTTTGATAGGTTGTCTTATCTGTGGATCAGGGAGGCTTGGGTTACACTTGAGATCCACCAACCGCCACGCGTTCTATCGTCGGTATCCAGGACGATTTCTTCCGCAAAAGATCCACGCCTATCCACGCTTTCTTGGATGAAAAATTCAGATTTTGTAACCGGGAAAACTTCACCAATTAATCGTGTTTTTGAAGCTTGTATAAGCCTCCAGCTTATCTTCACTTGGTGTAAAACTAATTCATGTTATCCATCAGGGGATTTATCTCTAAAGTTCTCACACAATATTTATTACACTCTTTGTTTACTTTATAACCTCCTCTTGATTCAGTTCTGGAATCATTGTCTGAATATTCTTCACATCCTTTTCACAAAAGTAACTCTGCATATTCTCCTTGCTAAAAATTTGTTTGATTATAATTCTTTCTGTTTTTGCTCATCTCACATTTTTTTGTTTCCTTATTGCTCTTCAATAATTTATTTGATTTTCATCCCAGAAAATCACAACAATGATTTCTATGAGGTTTTGAACATGACTGGTAGGCTACAGCCTGTCTGAATAATTCTTTCTTCCCATATTCTTTTGAAATAAACATTGTTCTCATTTCTTTATTTCCCCATAACCTCATCTCGATTTCCTGATCTATCTTCTGTCAAGATGATGAAGATACAACTGAAAAACAGGAAAAATGATAAGCAAATCTTCCAAATGCGGAGCACAAGTCTAGTGAGAAATTTAAAGATTCAATGGAAAGAAAGCTTGTTCAGGTTTTTATGAAAACAAATTAAATGAAAAAATGGATCTACAATTTCCAGAGATAATCCATGCATCCAATTCAAAAGGGGAGTAGTGAACTCTATCTGTTGTTCCTTGATCTGTCTTTGTGATCACAAGTGAAAATTAATTTGTGGATTGCAGATGGTCCTCGGAATGAACCGCACAGGACCCCGACAAGCCCCTATTGAACCGGCTCATGTTTACAAACTGGTAGCAAAACCGATTTTTCTTTTTTTTGCAAAATGATATGTACTCATGAAAATCAAAATCTTATAGGAATTTCATAGTTTTTTTTTGTGATTTATTCTGATGAAATCCTCATGTAAACTGTAGCAAGTTTTCCTAATTGAGAAAGAAAATAGTGAAAAAAAGGTGTTATGCATCCAAAGAAAAAAAAAGAAAGAAACTTTCAGAAATGATCACAATTTGAAAAGACAGATATTTGAAGGGTGGGCACATTTTTCTGGTCAACACATTCATGCAAATGGTAGCTAAATCAGGATCTTCAGTCTAAAAACCAATTCTGGCAGCAATGGCGGGGTCCTGAGGTGGACTGTTGTTTGATTATGAATATGCAATTTGGACTGACCACATCCACTGGACATCTTCATCGGCAAACTCAAATGAATATCTTTGGCCAACCTCAACCACTCAACCCAAGACAGAAAACTAGATATCCAGACAGGATGAAAGCATCAAGCCAGAAAAAGAAATCCAAGCAGCCCATCAAACCCCGTAAACTGAAACGACAAACTGAAGAAGAGGAAATCAAAAAGTTAGCATCTGAGAGCATTTCCTTTGTTAGCCACGTTTCTCTTTCTTTCTTTCTCATTCGATAATCTTTTTCCCTGCCCTCCAGAACAAGAATCTGAATCTGAAAATTGATTGTCTCTTCCAACAGGATCTAGCAAAGCCCCCAACACTATTTAGCGACCTACCTATCTCAAGAGCCACATTGAAAGGATTGCAAGCTGCCAAATTCGAGAAATTAACACCGATCCAAGCACTAGCCATACCACGAGCCTTAAAAGGAAGAGATGTCTTGGGAGCCGCGCGGACAGGATCTGGAAAGACGCTGGCTTTCCTGATTCCAGTGCTAGAGATGCTATATCGGCAGAAATGGGGAGCCATGGACGGCCTGGGTGCCTTGATCATCAGTCCTACTCGTGAATTGGCCGTTCAAATCTTCGAGGTGCTCAGGTCGATCGGAAAATTTCATGCCTTCAGCGCCGGACTAGTCATCGGTGGTAAAAGTTTAGAAGACGAAAGGGATCGACTCGGAAGAATGAACATCCTGGTTTCTACTCCTGGCCGTTTACAGCAGCATCTCGAACAAACCACCAACTTTGATTCTGATAACCTTCAGGTCTTGGGTATGTCGCATCTTCCTTCCCTCACTGCCCGTTGATCTATCCAAGAAACTTTTGTACTCATGTATCACTCTCCACCACAGTTCTCGATGAAGCCGATCGAATCTTAGATATGGGCTTCGCAAATTCAGTCAATGCGATCATTTCTAGTCTGCCCAATTCACGACAGTCACTTTTGTTTTCTGCGACTCAAACCAAGTCTGTCAAGGACCTCGCACGATTATCTCTAACTGGAGATCCAGAATACGTTTCGGCTCGTGAGACGGGAGTTGAACGAGATCTTACCACGCCCAAAGAACTCGTACAGAGCTACATGGTAACACCGCTGGAATGTAAAATAGATTATCTTTGGGGTTTCTTAAAGACTCATCTCAAGACGAAAATGATAGTGTTTTTGAGCAGCTGCAAGCAGGTATGATTCTTTCCTTTTGGATATTTTTCCTCTGAACCCGAAATTTCAAATCACTGTTCTTATCGTCCTTTGTTCCGTGTATCGACCAATGTCTATCAGGTTCGATTTGTTCACGAAATCTTTCGTCATCTACGACCAGGGATCCCGTTGCTACACTTGCACGGAAAGCAAAAGCAAGTCAAACGACTCGAAATTTACGAACGCTTTTCCTCTTCTCCTCAAGTATGTCTGTTCGCCACCGATATTGCTGCACGAGGGCTCGATTTCCCATCTGTCGATTGGGTGGTTCAAGTAGACTGCCCTGAAGACGTCGATACCTACATCCACCGAGTGGGCCGGACTGCCCGTTATCAGAGCGGTGGAAAGGCTTTACTACTTTTATTACCATCGGAAGAAGAAGGGATGTCGAAGAAGTGGGAAGCTAGAGGGATTGTTGTCTCCAAAGTTAAACCAAACGAATCAAAGAAACAATCTATCCAGAATCAAATACAGGCTCAAATGTTCAAGTTCCCCGAGCTCAAATTCCTGGGCCAACGAGCTTTTATCTCCTACGTCCGATCCATTCATCTTCAGAAGAACAAGGAAATCTTTAAGTTGAAAGAATTGGATTTAGTCAAATTTGCGGAATCCATGGGCTTACCAGGAGCACCCCAAGTCCGGTTTTCTGGTTCAGGAGCTGGCGGAGCTGCCGGAGGGACGGGCGAAAGCGCTAAAGCCAAGAAAAACGCGCCACGAGACTTGGAAACATTAAAGAAACTTACACTCACTCAAAACACCACGAGCACGGATGCAGTCAACAAGGGTGACGCAGATGAAAACGAAGAAGCCTCAGATAGTAATGCCACGTCCTCTGAAGATGGTTCCGATTCCGATTCCGATTCCGATGATGACTCTGATGAGAATGACAGCAATGATGGGGAGGAACAAACGCACTCGGTCACCATCGCTCCCCATTCTTCAGCTACACATCCTACAGGAGTAAAACCGACTGTTCGAACGAAGTATGATCGAATGTTCCAGCGGCAAAATCAAGACATCCTTTCACAGCACTATGCCAAACTAGTCGATCGTAGTGAAGATGCGGCGGAGGGCCGAGAGAAGGGAGACGAAGAAGAAGACGATTTCATCCAATTGAAACGGGCGGATCACGACCTAGATGCTGCAGAAGCGGCAATTCCAGATTCGGCATACTTATCCAAACGAAAGTTAAAACAAGCGACCTCCAAGAAAGCGGTGGCGATGTCTGGTATCGGCCTAGGCAAGAAAGTGATCTTTGATGACGAGGGAGAAGCTCATCAGGCTTACAAAATCTTGCAGGAAGAAGAATACAAGAAGAATCATGATGTGGGAAGCGAAATTAAGGATTTCGTGACTCGAGAAAAGGATAAAGTTCAACAGGCTGACCAAACTGATAAGCTGGTGGCTAAGAATAAACGAGCCGAGAAGAAACGGAAACGCAAACTTACTTCTGAAGCGAATCAAAATGTAAGGTTTATTGTCTGCATTTTTTTGTAGGATTACTTTCGCTTTGCTTGACTCAAACTAACATTTGTGAGGATTGTGATGCTATTTCAGGAGGGTGTTCAAGGAGCAAGAGTTGCCGAATTGGCGTCGAACGATGAAGATGATGGATATGTTTCACCCGAGTTCGATCTTCCTCCCGAATCAGATTCAGACCCAGATGGTGATCGTGATCATCACCAACACCGGCCCAAGAAGCTGAAAGCATTTCGTCCTTCGGATAGAGATGATGACGAGGAGGAGGACCTTGAAGCGTTGGCTTTGCAGAAACTGCAACAGAGGTTCTAGCCTACACTTTGATTTCAATCAATCCAATCGTGTAACCTCTACAGTGCTTAATTAGGTCCAATAATTGTGCTCCTACTATCTTTGCGCTATTTTCAATAGTAATCAAAAAGTCTCATATCAATAGCAAACTACCATTTTCACAAATGAGATTTAAAATGACACTGTAAGAATCGCAATCTATGTAGTGTGATCTCAAAACAACGCATCCTGGCTTGCCAGAAATTCATTCAACAGTTGTGCAAAGACATGAAATGATGAGATGTGCTCCCCAATCAGACTGAGTCTTACTTGTTGTTCTGTTTTCTTGGAGAATTGGGATTCCTTTCCCTGTCTCAGGCTGTCCTTTTTTGAACGCTTCTTTCTTTGACTAGCAATCCTTCAAAAGAGGTTGCAAATAAAATACCGTTGGCTGGGTGAGAAAACTTCTGCAGCAATGTAACTTGGTCCTCGACTGATGATGTTAGATCCCGGGGTTTGGTACATATATAAGTGGTTTTGTGGATTTACATGCTCGGGTTTCTGGTCAAAGCACATCAAGGGAATCGAAAAGGCGTAAACAAGGGCATCCTGTTCTAGGGTAGGATGAGTCTACTTGCTAAAGAAACTCGCTGGTCAGCAAACTCTTCTTCTTCTCATCTGCTACTTGACTGTTTCTCGCCTCGGCATGACGAACTGCCCAACTTCCTGCATCTCTTTAGGACAGCCGGAACCCAGACCGCCCCCTTCTTTTCAGTTGCATATTACTGGCCACTTATGACTCGGTTGCTTTCTCTTATCTTTTTTTTATGGGAAAAGGCAAAATGGGAAGTACAATGGCGTGGATTTCAATGACAAGAGGCTGGCAAGGATGGTCGTCTTTCTTTCCAAGCGAGAACTTTCTCTCTCGGGAACTTTAAAAAGGTCAACATGGTCTACATGTCAACATGTCTGACGGAGACTTCAACGCGACTCTGTCTCTCCTCAACTTCAAAAACTCCTTGAAGTGGTCCAGAACCATCATCACCGGTGAGTTACATCATTGTATGGACCAACGAGGTATCACTCGTCCTTCGGATCTACTCACAAGACTCACTCTCAGATATTTTGCTTCTCTGGTTATATCAGGCTGGTCGCGATGGATGAACAGATCCAGTCGAATGAGAATCCCGGCGAGAATCCCTCAGCTGAGTTCGCACATTATCGTAGGGTCATCAACGCATTTGATGAATATCGAAGGTCAGTATCCCATTAATATGTGTTCGGCTTCAGAACTGATGGTTTGGTCCGCGAAATGTAATTATAACCGGCTTATTTGCCTTACTTTGATTTTCAGATATTCACTGGCGATCAACAACCGAAGGAGGAAAGATTTCTACAGATTGCCATTACGGGACCAAAGTTTATTAGAAGAATATCCATCCAAGTTGAATGAAGTGGATGATCGGATTCGAAGGAACGCTGACACGTTGGATCAAATCGTCTTCAAAGGTGAACTCAGTGGACTTGGCCCAAAACTTCCTTCAGATCATGATGTCTTGGTTGATCTCTCAGCTCCGACCTCAGTCGAACTTGCAGAACGAGAAACAGGTGAAGTGTTTGTTAGATCCCATGCCTGGCTTTTCTTTTTTCTTCTTCTTTTACAAAAATAATAAATAAATAATCCTAACCTTCTATAGTATATCCTCTTGAACCAGAGCACCAGCCTCGAGTTAGTGCCCTAGATGCCGAAAAAGTACGAAGCACACTTCGACAACTGGTCAGGGATTGGAGCACTCTGGTAAGTATTCGACAATCGTGTCGTCTCTCCTTTTGATGAAGGGGGTGGTTACTGATTTTCATTTTGCCAGGGTTCAGCTGAGCGGGAAGCGTGTTACTCGCCGATCTTAGACAGGCTGGAGCTGTTCGCGACGGATTGTTTGTCTGCCGACGTCTCCCAGAAGAGTGACATTCGAGTCTTGGTTCCTGGTAGTGGCCTAGCTCGATTGGTTTGGGAAATCGCTAATCGTGGTACGTCTTCACTAGATGACGATTTCTTCTCCATTTCGACCTTCAATTATTTCTGACCGTTAAAACATTATATCTGGACCTCGTCTCATTCTTCTGCTCAGGATTCACAGCCCAAGGAAATGAAGTTTCATACCAAATGCTACTAGCCTCCAACCTGGTCCTCAATCAGTATAATCCCCTACCTCTAAATCATCATTTGCTTTTCGATAAGTATCATGAACTGATTGGTCTCCTTCCCGTCCCAACGAACGCGTCACAATTCATTCCAGTTCTGAATCCGTTGATCAATGGAGCATCTTCCCGTTCATTCATTCCTTCTCAAATCTTTCTTCCCTGGACCATTTGTTGAAGGAAGTCCGATTCCCCGATGTTGTTGTTCCTGAGGTTTTAAATCGACAAGATTTCGGGATCTCAGTCGGCGAATTCACTGAAATCTTCTCTAGCCCAGATGAACATGGTCAGTCTCAAGTCATCAGCGTACTTTCAACTTCAGTGGTCTTATCTGCATAAGATAACACTCAAATGCTTACGCGAACGTATTGCTAACGCGGTTACTTGATTATTTGTAGGGAAATGGGACGCAGTAGTCACTTGTTTTTTCCTTGATACCGCCCAGAATATCGTCGAATACCTGAGAATAATCTATGGAATCTTGAAGTCAAATGGGATTTGGATCAACCTTGGGCCGACTCTTTGGCACTACGAGTCATCTTCGAATCCCAGGGATATATCGATTGAATTGGACGTCTATGAAATCAAAGAACTCTCCAAGAAGATCGGATTTCAATTTGAAGTCGATAGTGTACGTCCTTCAGATTGATCTGCTTGTGATTTGAAAAAATTGCTCAAATGGATCTGACTTGATAAATATGTTCCTGTTTTTTTTTTTTTCTTCTAGGAGAGAGTTGTTGAAACTACCTATGCAGGCAATCCTCATAATAATTTGCAACAAGGTGTGCCAGCCTTCCTTTCCAACAAATCCTTCATTTTGCGTGGAAGCCTCCTCACATAGTGCTATTGTCTCTGATTACCAACTGATGAGCAATTTTCCTTGTTTTAGTTTATAAAGCTCATTATTGGGTGTGCTCCAAGAATGGAAAATGAGGATGCCAGTTCAATTTTTTATACCCCTCTTTTTTATAGATGTATAGATTTTAGTACTTACATATATAATATGCCTTGATATGAATCGAAGAAATTAGGAATCACTTGTGGGTCCCCCAAAACCAATTTAAAGCCTTGAAAACCAAAGTTCTGTGTGAGAATCTAAAGTTTTCAAGTCTAGATCAACTTCTGCAAGGGCTCCAGTCCATACAGGAACTTCCTGTATGGACTGGAGCCCTTGCAGAAGTTGATCTAGACTTGAAGTCCTCCACATGACAATGTTTTGAGTTCAAAAGTTATCTTGGAATCTGAGAGCTTCTTGTGACACATCCATTGGTGACCAAGGGTGAAATTGACCTCAGAATCTAGGTTTTGAGACATAGTTGGTTTTTGCTCAGTGGATAGAGATCGTTCGTTCGGACCTGGGTACCTGTTTATACCTAGGTACCTGTTCATTTTTTCAAGAAAATAGATACCATGTACCGCACCAGACACCTCCCGGGGGGTACCCAAGGTACCTGTTGCAGGTACCTCAGGTACCCCCCCCCTCTCTTTTTCACCTAGTTTCACTCCCAGAGTCCCAAGTCACTTTATTATTATTATTATTTTTTCATATTTATTGTAAAATATCACTCACAAGTCACTTTTTTGGCATTTTTTAATATCTGTTGTAATATATCTACATCTAATTGGAAGAATCTTACTTTTCTATTTTTTTCATATTTATTGTAAAACATCAGTCCCAGATCACTTTTTTCATTTGTTCATATTTAATAATTTATTGAAAAGTTGAAACTATCTACAACTTATAACTAATTGGAAGAATCTTCATTGTCATCCAAAACCATCACCTTCCTTTTTGATTTTTTGTTAGACTTCTTGTTATCCTTGAGTCCCTGTTTCCATGCAGCCAAGGTAACTTCTTGGATCTTGGAGTTCTTGGAGTAGAAGGCCACCATCATTTTGATTTTTGGTAGGGAAGTGAGGGGGTACCTGTAGAGGTACCTAGGTACCTGTTCAATTTTTCACAAAAATAGGTACCAAGTACCGCACCTGGCACCTCCTGGCAGGTGCGGGGCGGGTGCGAGGGGTACCCCCCAGGAGGTACCAGGTACCTGCAAAAAGTACGGACGAACGATCTCTATCAGTGGATATTCAAACTAAATAAGAAAATAAAAATGAATTTGTGAATTTTCATCCATTCAGCTACCACAAAATGAAGATTTCCTATTTTGGGCAGTAATCAGGCCAATGGAGGACTTCCTGTTGGCCAATTTGCTTGATATAGAAGGGGGACCTAAACTCTATTGGCTGGTGAAAACCTGATCACAATCAATTTTCACCAGCAAATAACATTTAGGATGTCCTCTTAAATTGACAGATTTGGACAACAGGAAGTCCTCCAATGACAACTAAAACAATGTTCACATATACAAGGCTTGTAACATGTATGCCAGGAATGAGGAAGCTCCTCATACATATAAACTCTTTTTGCAGTGAATTTGCACAATCTTGCAGAGCCTTGAACATTGTGCCTTGTAGCCTGTAGGAAAAGCAGCTAACCTAGAACCAACAACTACTGATTAGAAAGATATGTCAAGCAGGACTTGCAAAATTTACTCCAGAAACAGTGGTGGCCCACTAATTTTTTTTCCAAAAATAATTGTTAGTGTAGAGGCTCTTTTTTCCTCCCAAAAAACTGTAGTGTTGGTGTAGTGTTAGAAGCTTTGTGCCAAATTAGCCTCTGCTACAGGGCCAAAATGGGACTAAATGACATGGTACTGCAGTGTGTAGTGGGCAAGTTTTTATGGTGTGACTGAAGATTGGGCAGAGTTCCACTACACTGATGCCACCACTAGTGTAGCTGGCCCACCTCTACCAGGAATAAATTCCATGGAAAGTTACACAACCCTGGCAAAACAAATTAAGATTTCCTATGTTGGGTCAAAAGCAGGCAGATTGGAGGACTTCCTGTCAACATCTGCGGGTCTCCCAGAGCCGGTTTAGAGCCTCAAAATTCAAATCTCCCTGCGAGAATTAAAAGTTTTTGGCTCTAGATTGACTTCTGAGAGGGTCCCAGATCCGACGGGAAGTCCTCCATTACAACCAACAAATGCTTCTTTTGCAGCAGTTTACATTGGAGCTTTACTGCTATAAGGACAGTCTACATTTCAAAATGTTTAGCAAAAGGTTAATTACAGCTATTTCGGAAAGGGTTGTCCAGTTGTCTCTTGCAATTTTTTTTTTTTGAATTTTTTTAAATTTTTCTTTGTACTGAACTACAGCCAAGGAGGTACAGCTGTCATCACTAGCTCAGTTCTGACAGGTCCAGTTCAGTAAAAAAAATAAAAAATAAAAAAAATAAAAAAATAAAAAAGAATTCGCGAGTCCAAGTGGACAACCCTTTCTGAAATAGTGTGTGTGAAATTGATAGAGAAATCTCAGTACTCATGCTTCAAGTGAGGCTGCTGACACTACTAGTTTGGATCAAATTTTGAAAGTAGCAAGCAAAATGTTGATTTCAATTCAGTAAGATTCTATTGAAATGTGCACTCCCTTATTATCATGGCATTCCTCACTCACATTCTGAAAATATGCCAAAGACATCAGATTGGTCCAAAAACAATGATTTGTGAGGTTTCACAAAAAGTATGGAATTTTATTGATGCAGCTATTTTGAAAAGTCTGGCTTTTTTCATCCATAGCCCTCCCAGTGGGGAGTGCCACAGGCCACCAACCAGTTGAGACTACCATGTGATCAACCCAAGTCACGCACATCTCCTTTGTGGGTTGAGTTGGTCATGATTGCTACACTTCAGCCTGGCAGGGGCGGGATTTCAAAAATTGGAGGCAAACAATCACAGGAGGAGAAACATAGCCTGTAAAAGCGAAAATAGATAAATGTGCCAAAAATTGTCTTTGTGTCCAAAGAAGAATTGCCCTATTTGCACCTCCCAGCTCCCAGCACGGGTTCGAACAGACCAGAAAAACCATTGTCCAGATCGTGCGTTTGAGGTCAACCAAAACCCCAGCAATATGCGATAGTTGCTCAGTTGAGTTGCTGAGTCTTCATGTAGCCAAATGTTACACTAAATATCAGACTCGAGCAGAATTTTTTAACCACCCAATAGCCTAGCAACGCCAATCAATGTCTAGCTGGGTAACTGCAAAGTTGGTTTGTAATTAGCGCCGTTCATCATTTCACCGCGCAGGGAGTGGGTAATTGGCGCCATTTCCCCTCTTGCCCAGTCCCTCACATATCTCTCATTTATCGCAAGTTACGAAGCTGACGGAGAAGCAACAATGGCGTCATGCGCGGGGATTTCATCAAACAGTCGCTGGAGAAGAACGATGCGGCTTCGGTATCATCGTTGCGCCGGGAGCTTCACTTGCGTCCACCGATCATAAGTCATACTGTAGCCGAGAGACCGAGTAATCGATGCCCGTCAGTTATACGCTTTGAGATGACCCTACAAGGAAACCCAAAGGCTTCCTTGGCGATAAACAATAAAGCGTCGCTCGTTGCTTTGAATCGCCAACCAAAAACTGAATGCTCAGCGTAATTCATAAATATCCTCAGACATCGCTATTGGCGCCCGAAGGCTTACGTGTGAAAAATGCACAGTGGAGCACTTCAACGGAGCCGGTGTATTGCAACCTCAGCCATGGCAATCAATAAAATCTTGATGAATTCGACTGCTTAGGAGATCGATGAGGCAAAGACAGAGAGGAGATGACTACAGACCGTGCTCGAGGCCGCTCGCATACTTGGCTAAGGGAGTAGCAGTGAATCTCAAAGATTATAAAAGGCTGGATCCTTAAGCTTTCTTCGGTCATCCTATCAGCTTGCCTTTTTTACCTCCGAAACAATCCAGGCGATTATCTAATCATTTTGTTATATTACTAACATCCATCCCTGCCGCAGCCTCTTTTTATCAACAAGTTGAAAATTCCTTTGAGAGATAAATCTCGATCAAAAAAAAAAAAAACAGCCACCATCATGAGTTTCAAAAATCTTTCAATCTTGTTGCTGGTCGCTGCGGGATGTATCAACAACGCGCTAGCTTATCCGGCGACACCGGATTCGACAACACCACCCACTTCAGTTTTGGCCGATGGTACCACCCCTCCTCCCAAGACTCCCGGAGCCGGAACTGGGTCAGTTTTAGCCGACAAGCCTCCTGGTACGGATCCTCCAAAGCCTGATAACAAGACGGACCCCTTGGGATCCAAGAAGACGGCGGGAGGCGGTCCTGGTACCACTCCCACCCTTGGTGGAAAAGACGCTGGTACTAGTAGTACTGTCAAATCCAAGACTGCAGGTCTCACGGCAAGTCTTTCTTTCCACCTTGTCTCTCAGAATTTATTCGCTAAGTTTGCCTTTTGTTTTTTTCTTGCTTCTCAAAATAATTGGCTGGCGTCTCCAGCAAGCCGAATTAGCCGAAGCATGTGCACCCTTAATGAATGGTGGAAAACCAGGTGGTGACCCCCCTAAGAAAACACCCCCACCCTCAACCCCATCACCCTTAACCCCAGCACCTTCAACCCCACCACCCTCAACCCCACCACCTGGAAGTGGTGGTGGTGGTGGTGGTAAAGGAGGCTCAGGCGGGGAAGGAGGATCAGGTGGGAAAGGAGGCTCAGGTGGGAAAGGAGGCTCAGGCGGGAAAGACCCGGTTAGTGTACCACTTGTACAAAACAATCATAGTCTAGGAAAGTAATACGAAGAACAGTGGCTGACCATTCGAAAATTTTGAATTCACACTTTTTTTTTGTTGCTTCTAGGGAAGTTCCGCGTCTGCATTGTCAGGAAACACAGTTTCCGCAGCGGCTCTTCCAATTATTCTTTCAATCTCTGTAGGATGGCTCTTTGGTTAATAAAAAATCTTACTTTTCTTGTATCCTCCTCAGATCCAATAATTTTCAGATATTGGTGTCAATGTTCCAACCCTTTTTCACTCCAAGAGAGCTTAGATAGGAAATATTCCATAGACCTCCAAAATGATCTCATTGTATCCCTGATATTAATGGAAGTAAAATATTGCCTGAATCTATTTTATTATCATTTCTGGAAACTTGGGATTGCTACAAGCACATCTAGATTTCATGACCTGGAGTCATAATCTCTGTTGTGAAATTCTGGTCATCCAAAGAATACAGCAGAATCAATGTTTCTTTCAGCCAAAAGTTCCAACAACAAGTCTTAGCAGAAGAAGATATCAATTGGGCAACTATGTATCACCAGTACTATTAGACAGAGTTCACGTTGGCTGAATAAACAAAATATCAAGATGGCATATTCACTGCTGAATTTTTTAGCCACAATTTGTGAGTATGTGAGCATCAAGTGAAAGGAACACCCTCTCCGAAACAACTTTCATGAGGGATGAGACGTTGCTACAAGTCTTGATGAGGTATCTATTTTCTTCATAGTAGATAAAGTAACTGGAATGAAGTTGTCTTCTACAAATTTACATGCGAGATATTTCAAGCTCCTTGACCAGTTTTGATGACTTAGTCTGTAATGTATTTCTCATCCGGAAATGAGACCAATTGGCTCAGCTGGTTAGAGATTCAGACCCCATCCATTCCAGACTCTGGACCAGAAGTTATCCACACAAAAATGACAAGTATTCAAAATAAAAGTTGAGTGTTCTATATCTTCTTCACTCGACAAATTCTAGAAGCAAAATGGTAGAAGGGATAACTTCATGATGAGTTTCTGTTGGTCTTATCTCCTCATGAGATTCCCATTTCACTAGCCAACTGGGCTAGCAAGCGAAGTCCAGCTTTGTCTATCAAGCTGATGATTAAAAAAAAGCGCGAGTCAAATAATCGTCTGAAACGAATGATCATGAGATTTTATTAATATTTATTTCAGGTAGATCATGAGCAAAGAGAATAGAGAGGATAAAGAAACACAAAAACAACACAACACAACACGGCAGCACGGCATATCAGGAGACAACAACAAATGAGGAAAAGAATGACTGGAACTTGAGGTTATATCTTGAAAGAATGCCCTTCTTGTTTTTTTTTTTTTTTCAGTCATATGAGAGCCAAGAAAACCCTGGAGATCATGAGTTTAGAGAAACAGTCAAATCAAAAAAAAAAAAAAATTAAAAAAAAAAATTAAAAATTAAAAATTAAATGAGAATGAATAAACCAAAAAAAAGTCACTGAGTTTTTTTTCTTTATAAGAGGAAGAATAAAAATACCCAAGAATAACTGAACGTTTTACTAGCTTGGTTTTTTCATATATATATATTCTCTTCAATATTGAGAGTAAGACAAAAGAAAGAAACAGGAAGAGGCCAGCGGAAGATCAAAAGGTTTGATTCTCAATAACGAAAACAGAACGTTGACATTCCTCGATTGCAGTACGAAGGTCGAATTCTCTTGCTTCTCCAGCTTGAATGGCCTCATCAGATTGTTTGGTAGAGCGAGCGTTCAATTCGCGATTGCGCTGGGATTCGAGGATGGCCAAGTTGAGGATTCGGCTGAGCTCGAGACATTTGATCTTGAGGGTCTTCTTCCTCTCGCTCGTCTCCTGGAGGCTTCTCTGGGAAGGGCCGGTGATCAGGTTCAGGATCACGTGTTCCCTTCTGATCAATAGCCAGTCGATCGTCATCTTGGCCAGTTTGTCCAACGTAGAATTCGACCGCTCGGCCATCCTTTTGTTCGGAAGTCGGGTCCGCAGGACTAGCTCGAGATAGGGGCCCACGCACCCGATCTCATCGTCCGCTTCACCCAAGTCTCTCTTCAGCTCGTGGCCCACTTCCACTGCCACTTCTCTCTTGCCGAACGCCATCGCCCACATCCCTCTGGTCACGCGCGCCATCCTTCCGACTGCAGAGCCGCAACCGAGCCGCAGACGACAAATCCGTTCGATCGATTGTTCGACTTGCTTCCTACCTTGGCTGACTTGGAGTGCGTATGGCGCCCCGGCTTCCTCGAGACGGGTCGGGAGCTCCGCCAGACCACCATCGAGGCCGAACTGGCTTCGCCCAATTCGCCCATCCCGAGGGGTTTTCTCTACCGGACAGGTCTTTGTGATCATTGACACAAAGATCCGGGACCAGATTTCGATTAGCTCTAGCTCGGCCCTACTCTCGACGATTTGCTTCAAGGGGGACCATCCTCGACTTCCACCGAAGTCGCCTACGACGGCTGACATGAGTCTGTAGTTCTCGCCTTTTTCGGCCAGGAGTTCACAAGCCTGCTCGTATTCCAGACTCAAGGCCTCGTTCAGCCAACTTTCCTCAGCGACACGCTGGGCGCTCGGCCGATAGTTACTCGCCGGTAGGATCGACTCGGTACCTTTGGCGCTCTTGATTGCCAGTCGGTCTCTCTTGTGAGCCGCAACTGCCTTGTGCCATAGCATGGGACTCAGCCGATTCGATTCGCCGAATAGAGTCTTCAACGATAGCGCTAAGACTCCCGAAATCTTGCCGCGATCAAGCTCTTCTCGCGTCACTCGATCCCGCCAGTCTAGCGTTCGGTTCAAGTTATGTAATTTGAGGACCGTATGGAGTCGCTTCAAAAATGAAGACCAACCGAAAGCTTTTACCAATCAAACAAACAAAAGAAGAAGAAAATTAAAAACGCACATCTTCCATCGCTCTCATCAATAAACTAAAGAAAGAAATACTCACCCCAAGAGCTTTCGATCTCCGCAATTCTCATCCAGGCCAAGACCGTCTTGATCTTCCTGATCCGCGCGCGTTTTCCCTCCTGGTGATTGTTACGATCGAGGTCGGCCATCTTTTCGATCACCTCACCCCAGACGAGAATGCCGGCTGTACGTGCGGATTCCTTAGATAACTCCAGGAGAAGGCTTCCCCAGTTATTGGGGCTACTCGTCATCACACAGAGTCGGTGATATTGCAGCCTTCCTGGTTTCCGAGAGCTGCCCACCAATACCTTCTCATCATCATCTCCACCACGAAATAGAGATGATGAATCGATCGGAATGAAGGAGTGATTTCCATCTGATCCCGCCTCGTCACTCTCATCCTCGTCGTCTGAGCCATTACCAACACCTGGAATGAGAACGGGGCGCTTGGCTTTCGAGCGTCGCTTGGCCTGTCTGAGTCGACCAGGAGTGAAGAAATTCATGACAAATTCGGGCTTGAAGATGAACATCAGAGTCCAAATGATCGAGGCGATTGACATCGCATTCAAGCCTGCCTGTGAAAATGAAGTATGGGGGATCTGGGTGGTTTGTGTGGCGTTCAAGAGTCGTTGACCGCGTCCAGGGATGGCATTCCGGTGAGGTTTGAAGCCTTGAGGAAATGATGATGGTATGCTTGGAGGTGTGCAAGCCTCGGGGAAATGGGATTGCGCGGGCGACTCCCAGGTTTCTTGGCCGTCGGAATACCTTCTGCGGGTTTGATGATAATTGTACCCAGAGCCCAGGGCGAAAGAAAGACCCATGAAGACCGCAAGTAGTGGGCGAGTTGGATGACCTGTAGCTTGTTGTGAACGAGGCTCGGGAGGGGGCACGGGGGCGAAAGGATGACCCATGAAATCTGAGGAAAAGCCAGAGGATTGCAAGTGGCTATAGTCATGGCATTGGACATTAGGAGTGATGAATTGGTGGTGGTAGTTCGAGGGTGGCTCGCGGAGGACATCAAGTTCATCTACCAAATCGTGATTCATTCTGTTCAATGGCTCTTGTCTTCCGTTCGCAGAATTAGGTGCAAATGAGCCAGGATTTGAGGAGGGCGGGAGCGGTTCGGAGGCCAAGATCATCGATTCCGGATTGGCAGGACCAAGATGCTGGTGACGGAAGTCGCAGGAATGGGTATTTTTTCGCATCACTTTCCCGTACATTTTACCGCCCTTGAGCTTGGTAGTGTCGCCGATCTTGAGATCAGTGAGCTTCCTTTTCTTGCTTGGATTTGGCCCATTGTTCCCATGATGCGCCCCGTTTGTCTTCTTGTTGTTAGAATCATGCATCTCATCATCTTCATCACCATCGTCCTCGCCCTGGCTTTGTTCAAGCATTCGTTGACGCTGCCGTTCGGGGGACTTGGACTTGACATGCTTTTCCCATTGACAAATCAACTCATCACCGCCTTTGACGCGACTCATGATCACATGTTTCAAGTCTTCAATGTCTTCCTTCAACTCTTCCCTGACCCTAAGCAAGTGTCGCATATAATCTACACTCTAAAATCACGTTGTTCCCCAGTTGAGATTCATGACAATTAGCAACAGCCTTTCCAAAAAGTTTTTTGTTTCCATCCAAAAAAAAGGAAAACTTACTTTGCTAAGGATGTTCCCTTTGCTCAATTTGGTCGCTGCCTTGACACCATCAACCAAGCCAACGGGTATCTTGCCGATCGCACTAGTTGAAACGATGAACTGGCTCGAGTGACGTCTCGATGTTGCTGCAGAAGGCAAAGAGCGGAGGTGTTGAAGGGCAGGTACAAGATCGGCCAGGGCAGCTATATGACTGTTGATGTTGTTGCGATAGCGTTTTTCGACCGCGTCTGTATGAGGCAAATAAGAATACCTCGAGGACATGATCAGTATTTCACGGATAAGAAATGTTTTTTTTTTTTTGTCATCTGACAACGTGAGGAAAAAGGGACTAACTATGTCCAGTTTCTTCGGATGGATGCGAAGTGAGTTTGCTGAGCCCGGCACTCCCAGGCTCGCCGAGGACGACCAAGTTTTCTGGGATTTTCTCCATGTACGAGGCGCGTGGCTGGGTGTAGGGGGGCAGCAAGCCAAGGCTGTTGGAGTTAGAGACACCGGCACGCTCGCCGAACTTGAACGAATGATCCACAGATACCGATGATGGCGCGAAAGCTGGCAGTTCAATGATGCAGATCATGTCAAATGGTGAGTTTTGGGGGACAATATATAAAACATTATAGGGATGCTTTAGCTTACCTTGGGTGGACAGATGGGATGGTGGGAAGCTAAAGAGCTGGTGGTTATCTGCAACCGGTGGATTTCCAGGTACAGCGGCCGAGGACGGCTGATTCTCATTCAGCTCATCGGCACTCCAGCCAGCCGTGCTGGGCGAAGTGCCAGGATGGTTAAGCGCAAACGGGCTAGGTTCGGCCGATTTGCTATGGTCAGTGTTCGTCGCGGAGTTGCCGTGATCGGTGGTGGGTAGCGATTGAGCGGGCGGGATGATCGACTGGGATGTAAAGAAGATCTGGCATGGCTGGCTGTGGTTATAAGCCTCACCGGAGACAGGATAGCTGATGTTGGCGCTCTGGGCCCACATCGGTGGTGCCGCAGCCGAGGTGGGTGCTGATTCGACACTGGTCAGCTGAGGTGAGCCCGGATTGGTGGAGGTACGACGGGTATCGGTGAATATCTTCTGGCCGAACTCGGTGGGGCTGGAGTTGGATGTGTTGGACTCCAACTTGGGGACCAAACCTAGTGCTCCCTGGGAATGATGGGCAGCGTGATTGAAGTCGCTGAACGCTTGGAAAGGGTGGCTCTGAGCAGATGAAAAGTTGAAATTGTTGTTGGAGCCATTAGGTCTTGAAGCAAATGCTGACTCGAAGCTGCCACGCGCTTGTCCGCCACGCGGACCGGATGCGACCTGACGGCTAAGGACTGCAGTCGGCTGTTGTGCCGTCGAAGAGCTGAAGGCCACCTCACCATTGGGTGTGGTTATGTGGTCCGAATGCTCCGTATGACGCGAGGAGATTGAAGAGTCTGTCTGCGGCGACCTAGGCAGCGATGAGCCGGGGGCGGAGCTCAAGCCTTGCTCCTCGTGCGAAGAATTGTTATGGTGGTTTGAGTGGGGTGAAATGGAGGCGCAGTTGGAGGAGAAAAGGCTGCTGGCCCCAGGAGCAGGTGGGGTTAAGGAAGGCCGGTCATTAGACGCGGCGAGGCCGTTGGAATGTTGAGGGGGACGTGGCTCGACGGGCGTTAATTGGCCTAGATGGTTTGAGCTCTGAGGATGAGCTGGGGTTGACTGATGAGGTGTTTCAAAGCCCAAGGAGGTGTTGATGGTTAGATTCTTTTGGTTGTTACTTGGAGGAGAAGGTTCGTCTTGGTTGGTGAGCGGGGAGGAGCGAGTCTGTTGATTCTGGAGGGCCAAAATCAGGGAGCGCTGGTCAGAGGAAGCTTGGATGATTGATGGATGATTGGGAGGATGGCAAGAGAGATCCAGAGGTTGATGGCAGGTGGCGTGTTGGAATAAATCGGCGACGGTGAGGCCGATATGGTTATTGAAGATGTCCTTGAAATGTTGTTGGGTCTCACCAGCACTAGCATGGGTGCTCGGGCGTGGCTGGAGGCTCATCGAATCAGGCGTATTGGTAGTAGGGGCGGAGGGAGGACGGAAGTCAGAAGATTGGTTGAAGTAGGAGGTAGTATCTAAGCTGGAGTAGGAGACCATCTTGCGGTCGGAGAGGAATGGAGAGGAGAGAAGACGGGAGCAGCAGGGCAGGAAGAAGGAGGCGGAGGTCGGATGGATGGATGGGGATATTAGATTTAAATGGGGGAATAGAATAATGAGAAGACCAAAGAACCGAAGGAAGGTTGGTTTGCGTTATCGAGCCGTGCCGAGGGGGGGGCCAGGCCGCGGAGGTGGAACCGGAGCCAACCGAGTGACGGAATTCGATGGAGTGGGTGATCGAAGACGCAAAGGATCGTCGGGCCGATGGAAGAAGGTATATCTGCAATTTAATTTTGATGGGACCGTAGTCTAATATACTATCAAACCACCCAGAAGCACGTCAACAATTACCCTTGGCCACAGTTTCTCGAATGGAGAATAGGGATCCAAGAGAGGAAGCAAGGCAAGGCAAGGCAAGAAAGGGAGGTAGAACAATAATCTCCACCCCCAGTAATCAGGCTAGAGACTCAAACTCTAAAAAGGAATCCGTACAACGCTCAACGGAAGAAGCAACAAAAATACCAACAACACCGGGGAAAGACGGGCAAAAAAAAAACAGGAGAGAGAGAGAGAGAGAGAGAGACAAAAAAAAAACAGGGTGGATTGGTATGTGGGGGTCAATTGAATCGATTGAGTTGAAGGAAGATAAAGGATCAGGGTGAGTGAGGTGGACGATGTAGTTCCGCAATGAGAGCCAAACCGATCGAAAGGAAAGAGAGCCTTAATTTTAGGGGGACTCTGATGGTGTCGCAGAGGAGGTGAGCTGAGAATTCAGGAGAGATCAAACTGCAAGTGTCAAGATTGACGAATCGGCCATTTATTTGACAGATGAAGCAAACAACAAATCAAAACAAGCTGATCAGCAGCAGATAAATTTAGAAGAAGCCAGAAGATGGTGAAAATTTCAACTGGGCGGCCAGTTTAACAAACCTTAAAAAAGAGATCGCTGGTGGTGGTGTATGGTTGATGGTTATTAATCGGTTACAAGACTCTCTTCTTATATTCAATAGAAGAAGAAGAAGAAGAAGAAGAAAGGTGCAGTTGGTTGATGAGAGGTATGTAGTGTAGTTGGGGAGGGGAGGAAGCCGACGACGATCTTTGGATTCAATTCTTGGATGTGGGTAGATCAGATGCAACGCATTTACTTGTTTTGTTTTTTTTTTCTCTTGGTTTTTGTTTTTCTTCCTAAGGATAGATAAATTATTATCAAGAACTCAATGGGTGTTGTAGTTCCGGAGAGGCTTGCAGCAGCCAGAGGAGTGGGACAAAGAATTTAAAGGATATTTGTAACAGAGGATGCAGGAACGCCGGAACCAATCAAAGAGTGCAGTTAGAAGTGAAGTGGTTGTACTCGCGGAAGTAGTGCCGACTGCATAATATTTATAAGGATTCTCAATGTTCCTCTCGCTAGTATCAAGCAGCGTCAAAGAATATATATATGATATGTATCAATGAGAAACATTCTTCTCGCGGGAGAGGGAAGAACAGGAGCGAGCGCAGAGACAAGGAAGGCAGATAGAAGCCGGAAAAAAAAAACAAGGATATAGATCTCCCAAAAGGAACGTGGGACAGAATCTCAGAGATGAATGAAACAAGAGATCCGGGGAGAGGGGGAAGGGGAAGGGGAGGATGAATGAAAGTCAAAGGAGAGATTGTAATGGTAACTGACGATGCTGAGCTGGGCTGGGCGAGCGGGTGCCGTTAGTTTTTTTTTTTTCTTTGGAGGAAAAACTTTGACGATTGTACCGGGTTGAATGTATGCAGATGGAAAGCTCGAGGGGACTGTTTGCAGTAAAAGATCTTGCAAGTGAAAATATGGTTCCTCGCGGATTGTGGGTCACAAGGGCTGGGACGATGAGCTTTCCTTCGTTTAAAGACTGGAGTGGCCAAAAGAGATGTGTCGGCCGAGCGATCCGTAAAGCGAGAGAGAGGGGGAGAAGAGCTTGCAGAAATCTTTCGGTAGGTTAGGGCTCAGCGCTTGTATGACTCAGGGAAAAGTGGGCTAACCGGTTGGACGATCTTGAGGATATCTTGGTTGAGAGTCGAGGGTGTGTGTTCGGAGAATTAGTGTGATAGAGGATCTTGCAAGTTAAACTCGTTTCATAAAATTTGAGTAGAGAATCGGCTGCAGATGACTGTCGAAGCTGTGGCCGGGGTTAGTAGGAGGTCGAATGGGCTAAAACTTCGGATTGAAGCTGTTTCCTTCTTCTTTTTTTTTTTTTTTTTTGGTGGTAGGTTGTCGTTTGTAACAGTTTTTTTCTTTGGCGGTAGTGTTTAGGTAAGATAGCTATAGGTGAGTATGTAGGCAGATTATTAGAGTTTATAATACATGTATCAAGATATCCTACTTTCAATTTACACTTAGTAGTCTGATATAGCACTTGGATACTCGGTGCTTGGGTGGGTTTGTCGAGCGGCGGTGGATCCGTGATAGGAAGTTGGGTGAGATTAGATTTGCAAATCGGATGAGAGGGTGTGTGGCCTGGTTTTGTTATAATGTTTCAGCTGAAGCTGAAGCTGGAACAGACAGACCGACCGACTGACTGACTGACCGATGGTTTTTTTTTTTGATAGTCCAATGGTGCGTCGGTAGATTGGAGGAGAAGAAGAAGAAGAAAGGAGGCGGCAAGAAAACCCTGGGCGGGTTGGGCTTAATCTTTCTTTCTCTTCAGCTCAACAAAGACATCGACGTAATTCGCGTGAGCTGTCGATAGAGTACATAGCAGTAGTAGTAGTATTATCTATCTAAATAAATAGGTATCTGTCTCTTTAAGTTTAAGGAAACCCCTCAGCCGACGTTCGAACTTCGAGCCAGCCGGCGATGTATCGATAGACCTGGCACCGGAAAGTCGAGGGTGGAGAGATACAAGAAGTCGAGGAAGCAGCTGGTAGGACGAGTTCAAGTAAGATTTTATCTGCTGTTGTCCACAAAATAAGAATCAATCATTCTCTGCAGAGTCATGGAAATAGTCAGGCAGTCAGAGATCGCAGAGAGATGGCAGGCAAGACAGGACAGGCAACTATTACTAGACATGTATTTATACAAAACAACCAACCTGCAGAGTGCCATCGGTGTTTGGGCCAGGAAGATGCTCGATGCGCCAGAGGGCAAATGGCTCTTGAATCTTAAAACTCAAGACCCAAGTGGGCTTGCCTTTGATCAGTCGGAATGTAATAATGTGTCAAATCCGATTAACATGGAGAAGAAACATACGAAAAAAAAAGTTCATCCTTGCAAGCCTCCGCTCAACTTGGCCATCCTCCATCCAGACAATGAGAGAACAGCTGTTTACATGCATCATATCATATTTATTGACTTGTGCAGATGGTTTCGATTTTGAGAGCAGAATTTTGTTTCCACCATACCAGATACAACATTATAGGTTTGCTTACGATGGTCAGTCTATGTAGAGGGCACAAGCTGGAAAATGCGCAGAAGAACGGTATACATATCGGCCAACATGAGAGTCAATCCTTAGAAGAGAATTGTAATACAAAATAAGTGGGATTAAATGATCCAAAAGAGGGACCAAGTCTGCGGGCACATAGAAAAACTGGAATATTTATGTTGTATCGATTTTTATCATTTTGTTTTGTTTGTTTTACAATCTTTTTGCAGAAAGCTTGTTGGTCCATCATATTTATGTAAGAAGTTATTTATATTGCAAGTAAAAGTTGAGTTTTGCAACTCGAAGCGCAGAATGAGAAGCTGATTGTCAAAACAAACAGAATTTCCTACATAGTCGACATCCCAAACAACCCAAGCACATCATCAAGCTATCTACATGCACTTAAAAACATATTCATTCATTTAGCTGATGTATTCACTCGTCTAGCGTATTTTCAACGATATGTTAGTAGCAGCCAGGACCACTTAGAGGTGAGGTTTATGTCGTCAACTGTCCTCAATCGAATGTAAGGCGATACGATAATATTTAAATAGATAGATATGGGCATGCGGAAGACCGGAAGACTCTCAATTCGAGCTTGCGGATGTGGACATGCCGGATAATGCTTGAATGGAAAGCTGAATGAAGGTGTGATACAACCAGAGGAACTCCTTCCGGCCGCAGTACGACGGATGCACGCTTCAGCCCGGCAGTCCCAGTGGGCCTTCGAAACCATCATCTCGGGAAGTCTTGGGCTTCGGGAGACATGACGTACCAGGGCAGGACTCGAGTGTTAACTTGTTGCACAGCTTGCTTACACTACAAGACCAGCTCACAGGTGCCTCCATGATTAAACCTAATTAAACCCCTCCAGGCTCGCAAAAAAAACAGCCCTTGGATGCATAGAATTCAGCCCAAATTGTTGGGTTGAATATTCTCTTAATGTTATAGATAACCAAATCCCACAAACAAACAGGGATCTCTGGTCTGATTAATGCAGTATGTATGAGCCACAAGTTGAACAGCTCCTTTGAGGGACTTGCATGTGATCTTTTGATTCTAAACACTATGTAACTTACCCAGCTGGAGCTTAACTAGAGTTGGAGCTTAACTAGAGTGGCCCAAATTTATGGAAAAGAAAATGTAACTTTCTCAATTGGTCAGTCAACAAGTCCTGGTGCTGACTTGACTGTGAATGTGATACCAAAATCCTCATCTCAAGACTCAGGTGTTGGAACTTGTGACCCTACCTAAAAATGTGGTACCAGAGCACCATTTGTTAATTTAAACTATTTATAGTAGACTTATATTAGGGCAGGGGGCACCATCACGATTTCTGATCCATTGGTCTATGTGATTTGAAGGCCTTTTTTATCACCTATGCACTAGTCTCATGCAAGGTTGAGAGGGTTTTTCATACTTGATCAAGATTGAGTTGTATCTTAGCATGAGCAGTCACTGCAGGCTACACTGCTCCTTAAAAGCCACTACTGCCACTGGTGGAAGTATCTGGGGAATGCCTTTCAAACTAGTAACTACTGTTAATGCTTTGTTTTCTTCTTCTCAAGCTCACCCAAAAATTGCCAGTACACAAATTATTTAGATGAGTGGGGCGTCTTGGGGCCCATTTTTTTTAAAATCAAGTTAAGCAGAAGCAAAAGAGATAGAGAGATAAAGAGATTGAGGGAGGCGGATATAGAGAGACAGACAGACAGATGAGACAGGCAAAGAGACAGGCAAAGAGTGGATCAAATGGGAAAAAAAGAAGAAAACAAAATTATAGGCTTGATAAGCCTATATAAATGTGATCCTACTTTGTCATCCACATTTATCACACCATATAGACCTCTCTGGCGGTCTTTCTTCTCATCCCCCTTCCCCAACAGACTAGATGTGTCTTGTTTAATGGTTATAAAGATTCTATAATAGTACCAGAATAAAACAAACAAAAACCCCTTTTATGCTATTGTGATAGTTTAAGAAAAAAAAAAAGAAAAAGAAAGAAGGAACAAAAAAAAAACCAATCTTTAACCCAAACCTCCTGCCCCTAAATAAACCAAAGAATATTTTGAACTTTATGTTTATATACACAAAAAAGTATGAACTGAGATAAAAAAAAAGGGGAGGGGTTGTGTATATTCTTCTTTTTTTTTTAAAAAAAAAAAAACGAGCACTCCAAAAAGAAAGAGGAAGAAGAGACGGAAGAAGAAAGAAGATTGAGACGAGATTGCTAAAGCAGAAGCAGAGGAGGAGAGAGAGAGAGGAGCATAATTATTCCCAATTCATCTGATCGAGATCGTCCAGTCCGATCTGATCGACGCCGGTAGTAGCTTCTATCGAGCCTCATGATGATCGGGCTGAGGAGGAGGATTATGGGACTG